CAGTGACAGTCGTGTTTGTCTATACATATCTTTACACACTTACGATCCGACTATTCATCGCGGTTGCGCAAGTTGCGCTGAAGCCAGCGTTACTCAACCCTAATCTTTTCGGCACGTCCTTCTCCGTCTGCCGCAGTGCTGCTCTCGCTCGTCTGCGCCACCACCATCGCAGGGCCCCGCCGTCTGCTCCAAACGTCGTCTAACAAACGTTGTAGGTCGCACCGTCACGGTCAACAAGTTTGGAAGGACGACGGTCCAGTCATCTTTGGATCTGCCCTCATGCTTCCGACGCATCTCCCCTCGTGCTCCCTTCGCATCTCCCATCGTGCTTCCTTCGCATCTCCCCTCGTCCTTCCTTCGCATGTCCTCTCCTTCGTCCTTCTTCTCGCATGCTTCCGCCGTCCTCCGCTGGTTTTCCGTTCTTTTGTTTTTTTTTTTTTCCGTATACCAACATCGTTTTATCCGCTTTTTCCTTGTCCCGCAGACCAAGGGTGGGGAATTCTGACGGTCCCCCGTGCTTTAACTGGAACGTGTTCCCTGCGTGCTAATGTGTAAGCGCCACCGTGACAGCACATTACGTCACATACGTCACTTCTCGAGTTATCCCGACAAAACTTTACTAGAGGTTACAAAGTAGATTTATCAAATGCTTTTCTTTAGCAACACTGCACTGACAGTTGCGTTTCTGTTCTTCCATCATGCTCTCGCATCATCTGCCTGTCTCACTCCCTCCACACCCCATCCCTACGTTCCCTCCTCGTCCTCTCCCCGCAGCACGGATAAGCTCCAGACCATCTCCTTCGCCTTCACCATTGGGGGCTTAACCGGCAGTCCACCAAGCTTCACCGCTCCCAACTTTTACAGAAATGCCACCAACTCCCTCGTGGGCTACATTCCCTGCACGGCGCGGGTGGGCCCAACAAAGGGCACATGGAACTGCAGCGTATCAATCTCCACTCCGCTCACTACGCCTTACCAGCATGTCACCCCACTCAAGCAGTTGGTTGACGCAGGCGTGTTCACGAATCCCTCTAGCTTCTATGTTCAGGTCAGAGCTAGCAGCCTCACGGTGAGGAGGACAATTAACGCAACTGTAACGACCTTCTAACAGAGTGGCGTTTCTGATGGTGGTTCCTTCGTTTGTCATGTTGTAGTTACCATATTCACTATCTTGTTCCCAATCATTCTATATTTACTGGTATATTGCTACTAATATGAAGCATCAGTTTCTTGATACTCATACTCATCCAGCTTGCATTGACACGAAAACTAAGCAGGGAACGAAACAGCTGCATTAACGGGACAATTTGGTTACTCGTAGTACTCGCGCATCCACCATCGCAAACCAGGAAAATGGTTTCAAGATGGTGGAAGCTTGAAGACTCGTTACACAGGTTTGCACAAACAAGATAGTGCTTTCATTGTCTCAAAGTAGGTCTTAAACGAAACTAGATAAAGAAATGGTTGTGATTCGAAGCCACAGCGCTGACTCAAGTCACGGGCGTCTGGCACCTGGGGGCATCAGAGTGCGAGGTGCTTAGCAGATATTCGGATGCGGCTCGCAGCCAGTCACTCTGCCATACATTTCGCCGTCGCTAACGGGGCACTCGGTTTGAGCGCTGTACTGTAGCGCCGTTGATTCGTGTCGTGTTCCATCGCGTGGCTTCCACACAGTGGCTGGCAAAGCGACCAGCTGCGCTGGATGAGTTCATCCAACGAGATGAGAGGCGTATCCAGCGGAGAGGAAAACCACGAGCTCCTGAAATCGCGAATGCTGCAGAAAAGACGAGGGGAGGAACTCGCATGGCGCTGTACGGCCTTCCTGCGTCCTGGATTCCGTATAAGAGCATCAAGCGCATCTGCTGGCTTCATTCGACTCAGCCTCGTGCTTTACTAGGCACACATTTTTCATCCACTCCACCTCACGGCGAGTGGCTTGCCTCAAGTTCAAGTTGCAACCTTGAGCCTTATGGCCATGGCCCCGATGACGTCACTCTCTCGTTCGCTGTCGCTCGACGTTAAGCGCCTCGCCGTCGTCATCGCTGGTGAGCTTACCGCGTAGTACGCGCCCTGCTATATCGCCTCGTCACTTTTGTCATGTCTCCTCGTCGCCCTCGCGTGTCGCTCTCCCTCGCCTTGGCCGCGAGTCGTTCCGCGGAGGTATCGCGCCGCCGCGGCGCGCGGGAGTGCATCATCCCCACATCCCCTCCGGATTTCGCTTGACATTCGCTGCGCAACTGGCGCTGGTTCATACTGAGTCCGCTCGTTTGCTCTGTAAATAATAGGCAGATTCTGTTGATAATTCCCCTAATCTTCCTTCGGAGACTTTGATTTTTTGCTTGAAGCCACTGAACCCTAATCTTTCCGGCACGTCCTGCTCCGTCTGCAGTGCTTCTCTCGCTCTCCTGCAGCGCCATCGCGGGACCCCGCCGTCTGCTGCAATTAAAGAACAAACGGTGTAGGTCGCAGTCAACACGCTTAAAAGGACCATGGTCCAATCATCATTGGATGACTCTCCTGCTTCCTTCGCTTCTCCTCGCATGCTCCCGTCGGTTTCCGTTGGTTTTCCGTTCATTCTTTCTGTCAACCAACATCGTTTTGTGATTATCCCGTTTTTCCTTGTCACGCAGACCAAGCGTGGGAAATTCTCTCGGCCCCTCGTGCTTTATTTGGAACGTGTTCCCTGCGAGCTAATGTGTAAGCGCCACAGCACATTATAGCACAATGTCACTTCTTGAGTGATCCTGTCAAAAACTATAGTAGAGGCTACACAGTAGAAGCATTTGAATGCTTATTTTAGCACAATTGCACTGACAGTTGCGTTACTATTCCTGCACGACCGATCTCCCATCATACTCTTGCTTCATATGCCTCTCTCACTCCCTCCAAAGCCCGCCCGCACCTGCCCCTCCTCGTCCTCTTCCCTTGCAGCACGGATAAGCTCCAGACCATCTCTTTTGTCTTCACCGTTGTAGGCTGAACCGGCAGTCCGCCAGGCTTCACCGCTCCCAGATTCTACAAAAGTGTCACCAACTCCCCCGTGGGCTACATTCCCTGCACGGCACGGGCGGATACAACAAGGGGCACGTGGAACTGCAGCGTATCAATCTCCACTCCGCTTACTACGCCTTACCAGCCTGTCAGCCCACTCAAGCAGTTGGTTGATGCCGGCGTGTTCACGAATCCAGCTAACTTTTATGTTCAGGTCAGAGGTAGCACTGTCCTGGTGAGGAGGACAATCGGAGCAAACGTAACGACCTACTGACGGAGTGGCGTTGTCTGCCATGCCATCCCATCGCTAGCGTCGGGTGTGGCATGAACCACCGGGGTTTGATCTGATTCGATGCCTTCTAGAAAACCAGGGCTTCGGATTCGTTTTGGGCCACCCTTAGTAATCAGGGTTCTAGGTATAGTCAACCCTGATGCGTAGGGTAAAATTTTTGTTTCCCTGTCAAATGCAGGGTAAAAAAACAGTAAGTCTGTTTGGGCAGGGTATTCTTAAACATTTATGGTTAGTTAAAATCCCGAAGCACTCAAGATCAACGGCTAGTATTTCAGTTGGTACAATTGCGCATTAGATCGCAAGGTCGCAAGTTCAAATCTTGCATTTTTATCGTTTTGCAGGGACCTGTATAGTGTTTCGTCTCGCTACGGAGCACTCAGTACCAGTATAGCTTGGATTGTACACTGTACAGTCAGAGTAATGTGTTCCTTATGCTGCTTTTCAAAGGTTATTGAAAAACTTACACTTTCTGGCCTAGGGTAAAAAATCCACTACCCTGCCTGTGAAAGGGTAACTGAAAAAAAGCGGCCGCCAGTCAGTGCAAAAAGGGTATTTTACCCTGATAACGAGAGGCCTGTAGAAAACCTTCAATGAGGCTTGTTTGCTTCACTAGCTATGCTTAGCCATTTGATGTGAAGCCTGTGTTTGTCGTTTTGTGGTTACTCACTATATCTTGTTCTCAATCATACTATATGTACTATTCTATGATATTAGTGCCTATATACCTAACGAGCATCGGTTTGTTATACTCATCCAGCTTTGATTGACACTAGGGAAAGAAACTTCGTGTGAATGTTTCACACTTGGTGTAAAACTATGTTTATAATTTCGATAGGCTGTAGTGACGCAACTACTGTATCCTCCCCATTCCAAATCTGCTTGTTCCTTTTCCGTCATAATGCAAGGCATTCTCGAAGCCCCTAGAGTCCGTTCCCCTAGCAAACAACGCATAGGGTATTTCTCGTGCGGCGAGCATATCAGACGTTTCACAACCGTGTGCAAAATGCTCGTGCGTTGGCGTCACTAGACTCCTCTCGCGTTGAGCCCAAAGGCAATGGAGCGCCGGAAAGGCCTGCTTCGATTAGCTCGTAGCGCGGCGGCTCGTCTTGATCGGCCGCCAGTTGCGCCGCTGTCTTGCGTGCCCTCTCGTTCCGTGCCCGGTGCTGCCCTTTCGTCCACGTCTACCTCCTTGACCTATCAGCCCTCGCCTAGTGCTCCCGATGGCGCAGCAGTTCGCGATTTGAGTGATTCGAGGGATGCGAGAGCCACGACTGCTTCCCATTCCCCCTCGGAGGAGGCGTTGCGGCGATCCGCAATTGACAGTCGCGAGATTTCCGCGAGCCGGACGCCACTCCCATTCGCGAAGACGCGGGGTGCTGGGCTAAGTTTCGCGGAGACGGTAGCAGTTGCGCGGCTGACGCGGCTCGGAGCCGAGATAGCCGCTGACGGCAAAGGCGGGAGAAGGTTTTCGCACAGCCGCGCGATTCGCCGCCGGGTCGCCTCCGTTCCTACGACGCCGTGCGACGAGACGCCGTCACCCGCGTCGCACGAGACAAGGCAAACCAGATCAGCAACAGGCGACGACCCGATCGCGAATCAAGATCCGTCGCATGACGCAGGTGCGACGACGTCGCTTGACTCGCAATCGTCGCCTAGGAGGGTCGTCTCGATCGACAAAGTCCCCGCCGACCTACTCGAACTCTTCCGCGGGTGGGGGATGGACGACCGCGAAGTGCGCCGCGTGTTGCGCGCGCGCCCGGGGCTCGCGCGAAGCGGCATGGCGGAGAAGGTCCTCCCGGGCGTGCGCGTGCTGCTGGCGTGCGGGGTGCCTCCGCGCGACATGGCGCTCGGCGCGCTGTACGATTCCGTGTGGCTCGGGCAGCCCGCGGAAAAAATAAATGAGGTTGTGCGTTATCTGAACGAGCTCGGGCTGACCGACGGAGAGAGAATCGGGACGGTTCTGAGGAGATTTCCGCGCGCCTTCGCGTTCGATCCGACCACTCAGTTGCAGCCACGTGTCCAGAAGCTGTTGGACATGGGAATCAAGGACACGTCATACATTATCAAAGCCTGCCCACGTCTGCTGCAATTATCATCCGAACGGGTTCAGGAGAGATTAGATTTCCTCGCACAGGTGGCAGGCGAGGGCCACGTCAGCGCCATCGTGCAGCGCCAGCCGTACATCCTCACCCAGCCAATCTCGGAGCTCCAATCCAAGCTCGACGCCTTCCAATCAATCCTAGGGTCAGAAACGCTCGCACGGAAAGTCTTCCGGCAGATCCGACGGCTGCCAGCGCACTCAGCGAGCAAGATGATCTCCACCTTCCATACCCTCTGCGAGATCGTCGGGGGGGCGGTCAACGCCCAACAGGTGGTCGAGAAACGCTCCAGCATCCTCGCTACCAACTCCACCACCATGCTGTCAAACTTCAACCACTGGCGCGCCCTTCTCCCGCAGCTTTCCCCCTCAGAACTCTCCCACCTCTTCGTGAGATACCCCGCTCTGCTGCACCTGAGCTGGAAGAGCAACATCGCTCCCAAGGCGGAGTTCTTTCTGCGTGAGCTTGGGCTGTCGGAGGCCGCTGTGGTGGCCGTGCCGCTGGTGGCATGCTACAGCCTGGAGCAGCGGATCAGGCCGCGGATACAGCGGGTGCGGGATGCGGGGGTTAAGGTTGTGGAGAGAGGTGGCGGGATTGTGTGCCTGCCTCGGTGTGTGGTTGATGGGGAGCAAGAGGGTGGTGGTGACGGTGGGAGTGGTGCTACAGAGGAAGAAAGCAATGGTGGTGGGGGTAGAGTAGATGATGTGCGGAAGGGTAAGGGTGACGCTGGTGCTCGCCGTCTAGGGAGGAAAAGACGAGATGCTTTCTCAGGTGTGAGGGGCAGGGAAAGTGAGCGGCTTGAGGGTGGGTCGAACGCTGCAGAGATTAGTCTAAGCACATTGATTCAGGTGAGTGACAGCAAGTTCGAGCAATTGCTGGACAGGCTAGTCAACGCCCCTCTTTCGTACTTCCTAAGGCCTAACAAGTCGTTCACGTTAGGAGTGGTAAATTGTGATGGGGCTGGTTGATGATGTGGAATACACCGGTAACTAGTAAATGAAATCGTCATTATTGTTCAGAGCCAGCATCACCAGTCTGAAGCGGTTCAATTCAACTGGCACCGAATTGCTCGTTGAAAGGAGCCAATGTTCAGAAATATCTGATTTCGCATGTGTTTTTAATGGTTCGAACAGGCGAGCGTGTACCGAACTGTAACCTGATTAATAACATGGCAAGGCCAATGTGAATCGAGTGTTTGAGCGAAATTGACACATACAGCTTCTTCTCTATGCATGCTGTTTATGACAGATACATCTGTTTGTAAGGTGTAACCAGCTAATAGAAAGGTGGTAGTGTAGTTTGTATGGTGGTCCTGCAACACTTTCCAGAGGCTTCCCTGCTGCGACCTCCTAACGAGGTTGCACTGACGGTCGCGAAATCTCAATAGCGTTTACACACTGTGCTTGCGCATTATATGCGCGTGACGAAACACAAGCGACCGCTTGCGAGATTCTGTAACGAGGAATGGCAGTCGTGGGAAGTTATCCCACTGCTTTCACCCTGAGCCGTGGCGCGTCCCCCCAGTTTGACCATGGCTCCCTACAGCTGACCCTGTATTGGTGTAAGAACTTGTTTGGGTTGATCCGCCTTTCAAGCAAGGTGCATGTGCTAATCAGGTATATGTTTTTCCTCGAACACTCCGCCTATAAACGTCTGTTTTCGCACTCGTCTGCATCGGTGCAAAAGCGTGTTGTCTGGTAAACGCTTTGATAAGCGGATTCGTCTGTTCACCAGCGGCATCTGATTGGTCCAGCGTCTCGCCAGGCTGTCATTTGCTGGTGCTCTCGACTCGCTCCACCGTTGGATAGACCTGCGGTAACGTGCTTGCTGGTCGAGAACATGCTAGTCTTTGTATCGTCCGACGTTCCGACTGGACATAGTAGAGACTCGTTGTCGGGGTAGGGAGAGCAGTGAACCTCGTCCTCGTGTTAGGGAAAGCAGTGGATACTAGTCAGCAATTGGCGTCTCTTCCATGGCGCACCGTGTATCCTCTGCCGACCGTAGCCGATGCGTCTTGTGAGGCTCAGTTCGGAATTCATTCGCCTCTCTACCGATGCCATTCTTTTCGCCTCGCTAGCCGGACCTCTCCCTTCGTCGTCGCGCGTGAGGTCCTCGATAGTAGCTCCACCGTTATAGTCACAACGCGCGTCTGACCTTTCATTTGAAGAAGGCAGACTTCAAGTCTTCATTATCAGGGCGAGCGATGTCGATAGGATCACCCATGGTATACTCGTTTTATGACCATCCGCGCTAGCAGTAGTTCGGATCACGAATCTCTTTCAGTTGCACCTTATCCTCCGCGTGACTTTCCGTCATCCATGGCGCAGCTCCCCGTAGCCATCGCCTTTAGCCTCGCGGGAGGCGTGGCGCTCCTCCTCCGCCGCCGCGGCCGGCGGAAGCGGGACGACGCGATCCGCGAATCAGCGGAGGAGGTCGCGGAGGCGGGGGAAGGCGGGGAGGGGGAAGGCGGAGAGGGGGAGTATGGGGACCCGGGGGAGGACGACGAGGAGTTGGCGGAGGGGGATGCGGGGGACGAGGCGGAGATGGGGGAGGAGGGGGACGCGGGGGAAGCGGCGGAGGCGGCAGCGGGGTTGAAGCTGCTGAGGGAGGAGTTTGAAGCAGCGTTGTTCGATGGGAAGGAGTTTGATATTGACTGGGATGAGTTCCCCTACCACATCAGGTACGGCGTGCGTGCGGACAAATCTCCGTGCCACATGAGGTACGGCATGCCTTTGAAAGAAATCCATTGCTCAAACCACCCGAATTCCAGCCATCCATCCTCCCTCCCAACCATCCTGTTCTCCCCTTTCCCCCTCCTACCCCTCCTACCCCTTCCCCCTCCCCCTTCCCCGCCCGCCTAGCCCACCCTTCCTCCCCCACTTCTTTCGCGGCAAGGAGCACCTTGTGCGTCCGTCTTGGCACATCTCGTTCAATCAGTGCCATAATCCATTCCCCCCACTGCCCCATCGCTCTCTTCGTTCAATCAGTGCCATAATCCATTCCCCCCACTGCCCCATCGCTCTCTCCACCCTGCTCGCATCGCAGCAACCATGCCAAGGATCATGTGCTTCTTCTTCCTTGCATGTCATTGCCAAATTCATGTGTTCCATCCATGCTTTCTCCCATCCCGTTTTCCTTCCCCCTCCTTCCCCCTAAACCCCCAACCCACACCCCCTTTTTTTCCCTCTCGCAGCAACCACGTTACCACGCCAAGGAGCATCTGCTGGCGACCTTCCTCGTGCATCTCATCTCATCACCAAATCCCATGTGTTGCACTTCTTTCCGCTCCCCTCTCCGCCCCTCCTCCCCCGCCTCTCCCTTGTCGCAGCAACCACGCCAAGGAGCAGCGCCTCCCGGCGTCCTTCTTCGTGCATCTCATCACCATGCTCCCTCCCTCGCATCCCACCCTTCTCCCCCCCAACCCACCCGTTGCCTTCCCTCTCGCAGCAACCAAGCCAAGGAGCATCTACTCACGTCCTCCTTCATGCATCTCATCACCGTGCTCCCTCTTTTCTCCCATCCTTCCCCTTCGCTTCCGCCCACCCAACCCAACCCCCTAACCTCCATTTTTCTCACAGCAACCACGCCAAGGAGCATCTACTCGCGTCCTTCTTCGTGCATCTCAAGCGCACCCGCCTTGCCAAGTTCGTCGCCTGCTTCCCCAACCTCAGCAACTGGATCCTCCTCTCCGGACCTCACGGTGAGCCTCGGCCCGCACCACAGGACTAGGTTCAGGCGCAAGCAGGTTCATGCATCACAGAGCTCGCTTTGGTCAATATTTCTGCCGCTACAACCCCAAAGGGCACTCACACGAGTTAACTTAAGTCTGCTTGAAGGTCATGTCATGGTCAAGTGCTTTGGCACTTACAAGTAACACGACAGAAGAGGCGTGTATACATCGCCGTTTCCTTGTCCCACGTGCAGGCAGCTAGGTGAATCAGGACACGTTGGTGAGGGCCATCGCCAGGAAGCTCAACGCACGCCTCTTGTTGCCCTCTCTGCTCTCCCAATTCTCCCCATGCCCACCCCCCACGTTCTCTGTTATGTGCGAGCAGGCAGCGAGGTGTATCAGGACACGCTAGTGAGAGCCATCGCCAGGAAGCTCAACGCGCGCCTCATTGCTGTTGACGCTGACAAGTTCCTCTCCCCTGTGAGTGCTCCCCTGCTGCGCCTCCCCGACTAGCGCGCGCGCACATTGTCGCTGCGTAACGTAACCAAACCAGCAGAAACGGTGGAGTTTTTTCAAGCAAGTGAGGCGTGCGTTAGAGTGTGTTTCAATCTCCCGCTCCTTTCCTCCGTCCGTCCTGTACCCACTCCCCTCCCCTGACTGACTGCCTGCCTTTTCCTCCGCCCCTGCCCGGTCAACCCCGCCTTTCGAGTTTCGCCGTCCCTATGGCCTGCTTCCGTACCATGGGCTCACTCATGTGTCCACTGTTGCTGTGTGCCGTGGTGCGGCATGGCATGGCATGGTGTGTGTATGGCATGGGGGGCAGGCGGACATGTCATCGGTGCCAAAGAGGAGGCCAGCAGCAGACAAGCCGCGCGACTCTCTTGACTCCGCAGGCCTCTCCGACTCGCTCGACTCGCCTCTCGTAAGCTCCTCTCCTCTCCGTGCCCCCCTCCCTGCCCCCCCTTTGCCCCCCTCCCTGGCCACTTCCCGCCCCCTTCCTCTCCCCTCCCTGCCTTGCCCCTCCCTGCCTTGCCCCTCCCTGCCTTGCCCCTCCCTGCATCCCTCCCTGGTCCCTCCCTGGTGTCACAGAACATAAAGGTAAAAGCATTATGTTCTGTTACATGCTTGTGAGGTGTAGAGGGGTGTAGCTTGTAGTATTCAGTTTCAGCGAGGGTTGGTTGGGTTCTGGAGGGTGACGCGAAGTTGGTAGAATAGGGCACTGCTGGGTACAAAGGGGTTGGATTCAGAAAGCCTCGAGAGACAGGAAATCAGGATCGGCCAATCCAAGGCCCAGGCGACTCGAGCCCAATTCACTCGTCAAGAAATTGGCAACACGGGTGAGGGTGAATAAAGTAGCCTAGGGTAGCAATCGCATCCCTGTTCTCTCGTTTGTTTGCCTCGTATAGTGGATTGAAGTTGCCGTTTCAAGCTAACTCCAGCTAGGTAGCTCTAAACCACTGTGGGCAGCCATCGAGTGGGAGCGGAAATCTCTCACAAACGAGAGAACAGCATTGGCGGTATAGACTGCCACGAGCTGCGTTGGCAGCAGATGGACTCGCGTCGGGAGTTTTCACCGTCGCGGAGGATGCGCTCATTGGAGCGCGGGAGATCGCGGACGCGTTCGCCACGGAGGACGGCGTACCGCGCGGATGGGGGCTCACCCATACGAGGGCGACGAGGAGGAAGCCAGGGCGATCCGCATGCGAAGGCGAAGCCCGGGCCTCGTCCGTCCGGAAGTGATCCTTGGAATCTGGCAGGTGGCCAGCAAGGAGCGGGAGAAGGGCGTCATGACGACGCGGATATGACGGACTCGCCGGAATCAGCAAGGAAGGCTGACGACGAGGGAGATTGCGAAGGTGTCACCACTGCGCGGGGCGGCGGGGAACAACGCCTAGGCAGGGGGGAGGCAGATCTGCAGAATCGAGTTGCAGAAGAGCGTAATAGCGACGCGGAAACAGATCCTGCATTAGAGGGGATGTGTGAAGAAGGCAGAGTGAGGTGTCGAGGGAACACGGCGGCGGATTGCTCGCCGGACGACAGGCGCAAGGGAAGCGCGAGGCGCCGCGAGGCGGATGCAGCTGGTGCGACGGACGAAAACGAAATGGGTGGGAATGGCGCGAGGCGCCGCGGAGAAGAACGGGCGGATGCGAAAGAGGACGATCTGCAAAGCGATGGCAGAGATGGACGCGAAGAACGCGGATGTGTAATGGAAGAAGATCGTTCGGCGAACGAGATGCGCAGGGGTGGCGCGTGGCGCCACGAGGACATGGCAGCAGATCGGGCGCGAGAAGAGGTGCGCGAGGGAAGTGCGAGGCGCCGCGGGAGCATGAATGCAGATCGTTCTGCTGGCGAAATGCGCGGGGGTGCGAGGCGCTGCGAGGGTGCGGATGCAGCCGGTTCGACTGACGGAATGCGCGGGAATGACACAAGACGCTGCGGGAGCGCGGATGCAGACAGTTCGGCGGGCGAAATGCCTGAGAATGGCGCAAGGCGCCGCGGGAGCGCGGATGCGGATCGCTCGCCAGGCAGGCTGCGCGGAAGTAATGCGAGGCGCGGTGAAGGCAAGGAGACTGAGCGCGCGCCAGGAGCCAGCCGTGAGGGAGAAAGGAGGCGAGATGTGCAGGCGGGAGTGTATAGCTCGCCTGAGCCAAGACGCGGACATGAGCGCAGGAGGCGCATGGCGTTGGGCGGATGGCGATCACCAGAGCAAGGGGGAGAAGGAAGTGAGCACGCCCACGAGAAAAGGCGCGCGCGGCGCTCGCGTGCACGGCAGCGGACGGAGGAGAGGGAAGCACGTGTTAACAGCAGTGTGTGTTGGTGGCAGTACATCACGGGTGCAGATGCGAGAACACGCCGGAAAGGAGTAGACGAGTACCCATGCGCGGGAGCGGGGTTGGTGCAGGATCCTGTCGGAGGAGCAAGAGGAAGCAGAGAGGGAGAGCAAGGAAGTTGGGGCATGGGAGTGCCTGCCTGTGGGGGAAGAAAGGCAGCATACAATGGAAAATGCGACGAGTCAGGAAGCAGAAGAGGCCGTGAAGACGGTAAGGTGGATTAAGGGAGGAACATGGGCAGATGAGCCGATGCGGCTAGCATCCCAGGTGCTGTCAGAATCCAGGGGAATGGAAGAGGCTGAGAAGTGGGCGGCCTGGGAGGGAGGCAAGGCAGTAGGACACCTGAAGGAAGTGATACTGGCATCGGTGGAGGACCTACATGTGGTGCAGATGGGGGATGCGTGCAGCTATGAACAGCGGCAGCAGCTGGGTGGCAGGGGGACAGAAGAAGCTGTAGGGGCAGGGCGGACAGAGACGGACAAAGGAGGACAACAGAAGAGGGGGCGGGTGCAAGCGGGGCGAAGTGTGGGAGTACTGGAGCTGGAGAAGACGAAGAGAGAGCTGACCGTGGCAGGAACCAGACCCACAAGGCACGGATGAAGAGCAGCCGTCCTCAGCTGGGAAGTCCTGTGTCTCGGGCCCGAGCGGCTTGAGCACGAGCACAGGAGGGGGCAGGTAGTGGCTGAGTACGAAGAAGGGAACCAGGGGACAGGGACAAGATAGATGCAAGGGTGAGAAGGAGAAAGCAGCAGGAGTACAAGGACAGAAGCAGGTAACGCAAGAGGGGTTTCTCTGACAGCTGTCACAGAACATAAAGGTAAAAGCATTATGTTCTGTTACATGCTTGTGAGGTGTAGAGGGGTGTAGCTTGTAGTATTCAGTTTCAGCGAGGGTTGGTTGGGTTCTGGAGGGTGACGCGAAGTTGGTAGAATAGGGCACTGCTGGGTAGTAAGGGGTTGGATTCAGAAAGCCTCGAGAGACAGGAAATCAGGATCGGCTAATCCAAGGCCCAGGCGACTCGAGCCCAATTCACTCGCCAAGAAATTGGCAACACGGGTGAGGGTGAATTAAGTAGCCTAGGGTAGCAATCGCATTCCTGTTCTCTCGTTTGTTTGCCTCGTATAGTGGATTGAAGTTGCCGTTTCAAGCTAACTCCAGCTAGGTAGCTCTAAACCACTGTGGACAGCCATCGATTGGGAGCGGAAATCTCTCGGTAGTGGCTGAGTACGAAGAAGGGAACCAGGGGACAGGGACAAGATAGATGCAAGGGTGAGAAGGAGAAAGCAGTAGGAGTACAAGGACAGAAGCAGGTAACGCAAGAGGGGTTTCTCTGACACTGGACCCTCCCTGGCCCGCCCTTCCCTGCCTTGGCCCGTCCCTCCACCCCCGCCCCTCCCCATCCGTTTTTCCGCTCCATTCCCCTTGTGCTGCTGTGTCTAGTCCTCGTCTCCCTTTTTTCGCGGCCCTTTTTCGTTGCTCCAAGCGCTCACCCCATTCACACGCTGTCTACCAGAGTTGCCCCTTCCCTCCTCCCATGTAGCAAGGCATCTGTAAGCCATCACCCCTCCCGCCCGTCCATCCATCACCCCTCCCGCCCTTCCATCACCCCTCCCGCCCGCCCTTCCATCACCCCTCCCACCCTTCCATCACCCCTCCCGCCCTTCCATCACCCCTCCCGCCCGCCCTTCCATCACCCCTCCCGCCCTTCCATCACCCCTCCCGCCCGCCCTTCCATCACCCCTCCCACCCTTCCATCACCCCTCCCGCCCTTCCATCACCCCTCCCGCCCGCCCTTCCATCACCCCTCCCGCCCTTCCATCACCCCTCCCGCCCTTCCATCACCCCTCCCGCCCGTCCATCACCCCTCCCGCCCGTCCATCACCCCTCCCACCCGTCCATCACCCCTCCCACCCGTCCATCACCCCTCCCGCCCTTCCATCACCCCTCCCGCCCTCCTCCGCAGTATGCGAGTTTGTCGAAGCATCTGGTGGCCATGGCAGCAATGATGGCCGTCGGGGTGGCTGTGGGGTGTGCAACTTTTGAAATGTCTCGAAGGCCTTTCTCCCCCTCTTTCCACTACCTTCCCCCACAAGCCCCCCCCTCTTCCCCCTCACCCCTCGCTCTACCTCCTGCAGTATGCGAGCTTTGCAAAGCATCTGGTGGTCATGGCAGCAATGATGGCTGTAGGAGTGGCAGTGGGGAACACACTATGCACACCCTTTACCTGTCCCACCTCTTCCCGTCCTCCGCCCACGTCCCGCCTTGCTCCCCTCCCCTCGCCTCCCGCCCTCCTCCTGCAGTATGCGAGTTTGGCGAAGCATCTGGTGGCCATGGCAGCAATGATGGCCGTCGGGGTGGCTGTAGGGAACACTCTGGGCACAGGCAGCGGCAGCGGCAGGGGCACAGGGGGTACAGGGGCAGGCGGGGACAGCAACAGTGGCGCTTACTCTCAGAGCGGCGAGGGGGAGGGGGAGGGGCGGGGCGGCGGGGATGACTACGGGTTTGGAAGTGGGGGAGGGGAGGAGGATGGGGCGACCAGGGCTCTGAGAGTGGGTACGTGTTTTGGGTGGGGAGCGGTGGAAGGGGAGTCAGAGTGGTGGTGGAGTTTTGCTTGTGAGACGAGTTTGCAGATGGAGAGTATTGTGAATGGGGGAAGACGAGAGGAGAGGAGAGGAGAGGAGAGGGGGGGGATGAGAGGACAGGAGGAGAGGGGGAAAGGAAAGAAGAGGAGTGGGGAGGAAAGGAAGGGAGAGGAGAGGAGAGTTCTTTTTAGTGGTCGGGTGCTTGGGTGCACATTTTGACTGCTTCCATGGCTCAGTGATCCCTGACCGGTCCAACGTAGCTGCCTCTCTATTCCTTGCCACTGCACTGAAAAGGCTCACACTTGCAAATTTTAGAGCCCCACGATTTCTTCGCGAGGGTTTTGGACAACTGACAGCCCTAGAGACGCTGCATCTAAATAAGCTCCGGTGGCTCAGCAGCATGTCCGCATCAATTGGCGATCTGAGGAGCTTCAAGGTGCTGAATATATGAGAATGCAGCATGCTGCGGTGGCTTTCAGACACCCTGAGTCTGCTATCGTCGCTCGAGCTTCTAAAGAATGTGACTGCTTTTGTATCACCATCAGATTGCAGTAATCTCTTTTTTTAGCAGCTCGAGGGACGATAGCAGACTCAAGGAGTCTGGAAGCCGCCTCAGCACGCTGCATTCCCATATAGTTAGCTGTTTTGAGGCCCCTTTGATCGCCAAGGGATACGGGCAGGCAGCTGAGCGGACAGCACTTAACCAGACACAACATCTCCAGGGAAGTCAGCTGCTTGAAATCCTCGGGAAGAAATTGTGAGGCTCCAAAAATTTCAAGCGTTAGTGCGGTGGCAAGGAATACGGAAAGAGACTGGTGGAAGAAAATCTTAATGTGATTTTCAGGGAGGACTTTTCAGGAGTCTGCTTTTCTGTGATTTACAAACTGCTCACGCGCCAATGTGACATGCGGTGTGTGCGGTGCGTATGTCTCACCTTGCCAGGGGACCGTGTCACCTATGTCAACGTTGACGGCTACAGCACGGACGTGCCCGTCCCCAGGTGTGTGTTTCGCAGCTGCCGCTCGGAAGCTTAGTTACGGTCTAGTATCATTCAGCTGTTGCAGTAGCAGCATTAGTGTGCGCAGCATTTGGGAGATATGGTTGGTGGTGTGGCGTTCCCTAGATGATGCAGCGACAGTTTTAGCGACAGTGTTAGCGACAGTGTTAGCGACAGTGTTAGCGAGCATACTCTGCTATTCTGCACCATCGTGCACCTCTCGAATGGTCCTCGTGTTGATATAATATATGCTGGTCGCTCTCTCACTCGTCGTCCACTCCCGGGTCAACCTGTGCGCCAATTTCAATAAGTCACCTCTCCACCTGGAAGTACCCATGCGTTCAGCTCTTCTTTCTCCTTGAACCGTTCTTTCCCCCACTCGCCCCTCTAGTTGCCCCTCCGGGGAGCCACAACGGTGGGTGGGTGGGTGGGTGGCGGTGTATGAGACGAGACGGTGAGGATGCGGTTTGAATCGCCTGTCAAATTGCACCATCATCTCGCACATCGCCTGTCAACACCTGAGGCGCCGATGCACTCACCTCGTCCTTACTCCCCTGCTTTTCCCTCCTTCCCCACCCTTCCAATCGACCCCCAGGGGAGCAACGGGGCAGGTGGCGTCGACATACGAGATGGTGGGTGTCCCATGTGGCTTGCTGCCTGTGTCCTCACAACTCCCCCTTGTCTGCTGCTTTCTCTCTTCCCACTCCTCCCAGCCGCCCCCCTCGCGGGGCCACGGGGCAGGTGGTGGCGACGTATGAGACGGTGGGGGTGCGCTTTGACTCGCCCGTGCCGGGAGGCCACTCCCTCAGCGGCCTCTGTGACGGGGGGCACGGCCACATCTGCTATGGTGCGCTGTGGTGCTATGCGGTGCAGCGTAGAGTACTTGGATGGATGGTGATGGGGTGATTGATGATGGGGATGGGATGGTTATTTGTGTGAGTGTGTTGAAGGGGGGGGGGGAGGGTGTGGCAGTTGTTTCCGACGGTAGTTGTGTGCGCATGTCGGTTTTTTCGTGTGTGGTGCACATGGGTGTGCATGGGTGCACATGAGTTAAGTGCTTGGGTGACCTTTGAATTGTTTTTTTTTTCTGATTACCTTTGGCTGCTTGGGGCTAGGCATGATCATTAGGCCCGACCCGACCCGACCCGACCCGACTTGGGCGGGCCAGCCGGGTTCCGGGTCGGGTCGGGTCGGGTCGGAACTTCAAAAAATCCTGGCCCGACCCGGGTATCGGGTGCCGGGTCAGGCGTGACCCGCCCCCGGGTCGGGTCGGGTAGGGGCCGGGTCGGGTCGGGTCGGGCCAGGACCCCATATGCAGGGTAAGAGGTTCCTAAGTTGGAAAAAACGCTAGTTTCAAGTTGCGTATTGAGTTTATACGCATCTAGAATTCGTACGCTGCGGATTTTTCTAAATTTCGCCCAATTTGGCTCGGGCTGACCGGAAAAAAAAATCAGATGAGTTCGCGATCTGGCGAACTCAAATTTGAGTCTCGAAATTCAGATCCGAGTTCGCGCGTTCCCTCTTATCCACCGCTCACAACCCACCTTCACCCCATCCAATTTGTTGCCAACTTCTACCAGACTCACTCAATGTCAGGCCGCTTTTCCCTTCAATAATCTTTGCGTTCGATTTCTTCCTCTTCACTTTGACGATGACCTACTACAGCAGCAGTTAGGTAATGGATTACTACAGCAGCTCCGGTCTAGGGTTTAGACATTGACTTCGCGATCTGCTTTAGTGCAACTTGTCGAGGGAGGAAAAGTCGGGTTGGGCCAAATACTCGACCCGACTTAGGGCGCGGTACCCGAAACCGGGTCGGGTACGACTTCGGGTCTAAATCTGACCCGACCCGACCCGACCCGGTTTCGGGTGTCGGGTCGACCCGACCCGACCGGGTAAACCCGACCCGACCCGGCCGGGTCAGCGCTTCAAAATGCCTGACCCGACCCGCCGGGGCAGGATGATCATGCCTACTTGGGGCGGTCCCGTTCAGATGCCACGCTTACTTGTTCCCTCAGTACCTTCCTCGTACACCCTACAATCTCTCCAGTCATTTCTCGATTTCAACACACATCCACCTCTCACTCTCTCCCTCCCTACATCGCCCACGCGTCTCTTTCCCTCCCCCCTCCTTCCTTTCCTCCAAATCTACCTCACAGTGTATCTGACTCTCACTTCTCTCTGCACAACTCTCTGCACCGCTCTGCACCTTGCTGCTCCTCGCTCCACCCTGTCTCCTCCCTCTTCTCGTTTCTTTCCTGACTCACCACATGTCTCTCCATGCCACACCCCTTTTCTGTTCTCTCCCTGCCACGTCAGCATCTGAGCTGCTATTGGAGGAATCATCCAGCAGTGTGAAGGAGTGTGCAGCCACCGTGGCTCTCATGCAGGTACGGTACCATGGCAGACATAGAGGCACGGTACTGTGGCAGACAGATAGGCACGGTATGGTACCATGGCAGAGACATAGGCATGGTACCATGAAGGAGAGATTGTTACAGTAACGTGGCAGACGGAGAGGTGCAGTGCCATGGCTGGGGTATTGCAGTGTGGAAGGTGACTGTGTATTAAGATGCATGCAAGTGGCAGGAGAGTAGCAAGGGACTTGGCAAGTGACGTGGTTTGTGAGGCGCCTCAAAAAAATCTTTTGAGGCGCCTCAAAAATCATGCAAGTGGAAGGAGAGTAGCAAGGGACTTGGCAAGTGATGTGGTTTGTTGCACTGCAATGCAACTCGTTTGGTTTTCTAAATGCAAGTCAACATGCATGCAACTCAACGCAGTGTTTCTCGGCTCCATTCATCTCACCATTCATCTCGCCATTCGTCTCACCATTCATCTCGCCATTCGTCTCGCCATTCGTCTCGCCATTCGTCTCGCCATTCGTCTCACCATTCGTCTCGCCATTCATCTCGCCATTCGTCTCGCCATTCATCTCGCCATTCATCTCGCCATTCATCTCGCCATTCGTCTCGCCATTCGTCTCGCCATTCATCTCGCCATTCGTCTCGCCATTCGTCTCGCCATTCATCTCGCCATTCGTCTCGCCATTCGTCTCGCCATTCGTCTCGCCATTCCTCTCGCCATTCCTCTCGCCATTCCTCTCGCCATTCATCTCGCCATTCGTCTCGCCATTCGTCTCGCCATTCGTCTCGCCATTCGTCTCGCCATTCGTCTCGCCATTTGTCTCGCCATTCGTCTCGCCATTCATCTCGCCATTCGTCTCGCCATTCATCTCGCCATTCATCTCGCCATTCATCTCGCCATTCATCTCGCCATTCATCTCGCCATTCATCTCGCCATTCATCTCGCCATTCATCTCGCCATTCATCTCGCCATTCGTCTCGCCATTCGTCTCGCCATTCATCTCGCCATTCATCTCGCCATTCATCTCGCCATTCATCTCGCCATTCATCTCGCCATTCATCTCGCCATTCATCTCGCCATTCATCTCGCCATTCATCTCGCCATTCATCTCGCCATTCATCTCGCCATTCATCTCGCCATTCATCTCGCCATTCATCTCGCCATTCATCTCGCCATTCATCTCGCCATTCATCTCGCCATTCATCTCGCCATTCATCTCGCCATTCATCTCGCCATTCATCTCGCCATTCATCTCGCCATTCATCTCGCCATTCATCTCGCCATTCATCTCGCCATTCATCTCGCCATTCATCTCGCCATTCATCTCGCCATTCATCTCGCCATTCATCTCGCCATTCATCTCGCCATTCATCTCGCCATTCATCTCGCCATTCATCTCGCCATTCATCTCGCCATTCATCTCGCCATTCATCTCGCCATTCATCTCGCCATGGTAGCCCACGTCAAGCTCGTTGTTGAATTGGGATCCTTGAAATGCCAATCCGCTGACTTTTGAGTCGACTCAAAAGTCAGCCCTGAAATGGCAATCCGCTCCTTGCACGCTTCGCACACTCACGTCTTCTGCATCTGTTTGCTGCCCGCCCAATCAGGTGCTGGAGAAGGAGCTGCCACGTGGACCAATCATTGTCTTCATCCGCGACGCGTCGCGATTGGCCGAGGCTTCCTCGAGTGCCGCCCAGTTTGAGTCTCAAATGAGTCGTCTGGTGGGGCCCATCGTGTTTGTCGGCTCCGTGGCTCGCTCCGAATCCACCTCTGCGGTGGCTGCCAAAGATGCGGTGAGTGGTCGGAGAGCGGGAGAGAGAGGGAGCTCTTACCTTGACTGGCTGCATGTCTCCTTGCATTGTGTGCTTGCTCGCTCCATTTGAGTCGTCTGGTGCGGCCCATCGTGTCTGCTGGCTCCAACGCTCGCTCGCTCCTCCTCTTCCTCCTCCTCCTCTTCCTCCTCCTCCTCCTCCTCCTCCTCCTCCTCCTCCTCCTCTTCCTCCTCCTCCTCCTCCTCCTCCTCCTCCTCCCCCTCCCCCTCCTCCCTCTCCTCCTCCTCCTCCTCCTCCTCCTCCTCCTCCTCCTCCTCCTCCTCCTCCTCCTCCTCCTCCTCCTCCTCCTCCTCCTCCCCCTCCTCCTCTTCCTCCTCCTCCTCCTCCTCCTCCTCCTCCTCCTCCTCCTCCTCCTCCTCCTCCTCCTCCTCCTCCTCCTCCTCCTCCTCCTCCTCCTCTTCCTCCTCCTCCTCCTCCTCCTCCTCCTCCTCCTCCTCCTCCTCCTCCTCCTCCTCCTCCTCCTCCTCCTCCTCCTCCTCCTCCTCCTCCTCCTCCTCCTCCTCCTCCTTTGCTGCTGCTGCTGCTGCTGCTGCTGCTGCTGCAGCTGAGAAAGATGTTGATTAGAGAGTAAGGTGATGGGGTGACAGCGAGGGTGACGGGTTGACGGCTAAGGCTGAGACAAGAGGAGACGGAGGAACAATGTTTTATTCAATAAAGGACCATTCGAGGAATGAGGCTTGAGTAGCGAGGGGAAGGGGACCCCTTGAGTTGTCATGAAGAGCCCTGTGCTTTGTCTCCCTCTGCGTTTTGTGTCTGTTGCCTCTCCCACTTACTCTTTTGCCGGCCTCTCCCACTTACTCTTTTGCCGGCCTCTCCCACTTACTCTTTTGCCGGCCTCTCCCACTTACTCTTTTGCCGGCCTCTCCCACTTACTCTTTTGCCTGTCCCTCCCACTTGTCTCGTTTCCTTGCCTCTCTCCCCGGCTCCCTCCCCCTGTGCCTTGACCTCAGGATGCAGCAGAGGGGGCGGCAGGGGGAACGGCAGCAGCTGCCGGGCCTGCCAGCACGGCTTGGGAGCCTCTCAGTGACATGTTTCCGAACCGGTTTGTGGTTCGGCAGCCCAGGGCAGGTCCGGCGGCGGAGGTTTGGGCGAAGCTGATGGAGAGAGACGCGCAGCTCATGCAGATGCTGGCCAACCGGCGCATGCTGGAGAAGGTGGGGTCCGGTGTGGGTGTGGTTGTGCCAGCAGAGTTGACTTTTAAGTCGACTCAAAAGTCACTTTGCGTCGACTCATAAGTCACTTGCGTCGACTCATAAGTCACTTTGCGTCGACTCATAAGTCAACCCAACCGGCGGATGGTGGAGAAGGTGGGGTCTGGTGTGAGTGTGGTTGTGGTTGTGGAAGCAAGTGGGTGCAGTTTGCAATAGGAGTGACGGATGGGAGGAACTGAGCGCATGACGCATACCTCTCCTCGTTGTCACTTCTCCCCCCTCTCCCCAACAGGTCATGGCCAGCAATGACCTCACCTGCTCGGACCTGGACAAGGTGTGTTCAGAGTCCACTCAAAGCACGCGCCACCTCCCCCTCTCCCCTCTCTCCCCTCTCTCCCCTCTCTCCCCTCACTCCCCTCTCTCCCCTCTCTCCCCTCTCTCCCCTCTCTCCCGTCTCTCCCCTCTCTCCCCTCTCTCCCCTCTCTCCTCTCCTCTCTCCCCTCTCTCCTCTCCTCTCTCCCCTCTCTCCTCTCCTCTCTCCCCTCTCTCCTCTCCTCTCTCCCCTCTCTCCTCTCCTCTCTCCCCTCTCTCCTCTCCTCTCCTCTCTCCCCTCTCTCCCCATCAGGTCATGGCCACCAACGATCTCACCTGCACTGACTTGGACAAGGTCACTTTTGCCGAGCCTCTGACAGAGGAAGGTGAGGAGGATTGGGTGGGGTGGGAGGTTGCACGGGAAGCAACTAGCGTACGTTTGTGGATCTCCCCCGCCCAGTGCTCTGTGTAAACGCAAATGCCGTAACTGATAAGGTCACTTCGTCCCTCCTCCCTTCACTTCCTCCATTTCCCTTTTCTCCTCCTCTCTCCCTTTTCCTCCACTTCCCCTTCCCTTCGTTCACTTATTTGCATCATCAGAGGTGGAGAAGGTGGTGGGGTTGGCCGCAGCACACGCAATCAACATGCAGTTGGGCGTTCCCTTCACACCTATCCTCCTTCGATTCCTTCACTCTTACCAAGTGACTTTTGAGTCGACTCAAAAGTCACCTCGTTACCATCGCAGCACACGCAATCAATATGCAGACACGCCATCCCTTCATACCTGTCCTCCTTCGATTCCTTTACTCTTACCCCTCCCCTCCCCCCCCCCCCCCCCTCCCTCTCTCTTGTCACTGTTTTCCTTTATAAAAAACGGAGCAGGTGGTGGAATGGGCAGCAGGCAGCGCATGCCATCATGCGGTTGAGCGTTCCTTTCGCACCGCTCCTTGTTTGATTCCTTCACTCCTTTCCCTTCCCCCCTTTCCCACTCCTTTGCTTCATTAGAAGCGGAGCAGGTGGTGGGGCTGGCAGCAGCACACGCCATCATGCAGGGCGCAGCAGAGGGGGCGAAGGGAGGGGCCACGGAGACCAGCACGGGGGAGTCAGAGAGAACGGCAAAGGAGAAGGAGGGGGAGCAGGAGGAGAGGAGGGAGGGGAAGGGTGAGGAAAAGGAGGGGGAGGAGAAGGGTAAGGAGGGGGGGAAGGAGGAGAGGGAAGGGGAGGTGGAGGATGGAGAAAGTGACGGAGGCGAGCTTGTCATTTCAGCCAAGAGGTGGGTGCTGGAGTTGCAGCATTAGCAGCGTTGGAGTAGCCACATTAGCAGCAGTGGAGTGACGTCACATTGTAACGCTTCTTGTGATGTGTGATTTTCGTCGTAGGCACATAGAGAAAGTGGAGTGGTGCGAGCATGCATATGGTCGTATGGGTGAAAAGGGATTCTGCATGGCTGAACTCACTTGATACGAGCTGTTGTTGAGAATACTCAAAAACCAGCTCGGATTCTGCATGGCTGAAAGTGGAGTGCGAGCATGCATATGGTCATAAGGGTGAAACGGGATTCTGCATGGCTGAACTCACACCTATCCCTTTCCTCAACCCACCTTTCTCCTCCCCTTCACCTCCTTCCGCTCTGCACCATCATGCACAGCATAGCAACGTCTTACATCTCCTTCCTCACATTCCTCCCCCTTCCTCCTCTCCTTCCCCTTCCACTTCCCTTTTCCTCCATCCTCTCCCCCCCCTCAGTATAATGCACGGCATAGCGCTGCACAGGGGGCTGCAGGAGGAGGCGCTAGAGGTGAAGGCACCCCCAACTGCTGCCAAGGTGGGTGCGCCTCTCACTCATGGGGTGTCCTGGGCATGGGTTGCGCTGGGCATGGGTTGCGCTGGGCACGTGAACAAGTGTGTAGTAGATGAGAACGAGAGAGTGTATGACAGCATGTGACTGCGTGTGAATGCATGTGACTTGCATGTGACTCGCGATCTGTACATGACTCTTCCCTCCTTCCCCCCCGCCGCCACCCAGAAGGTCGCATTAGCTAACAATCCCAAGGAGCGGCTGTTGGCAGAGCAAAGGTTGTCCTTCCAGAGGAGGTGGGGGTCCTTCCAGAGGAGGTGGGGGTCCTTCCAGAGGAGGTGGGGGTCCTTCCAGAGGAGGTGGGGGTCCTTCCAGAGGAGGTGGGGGTCCTTCCAGAGGAGGTGGGGGTCCTTCCAGAGGAGGTGGGGGTCCTTCCAGAGGAGGTGGGGGTCCTTCCAGAGGAGGTGGGGGTCCTTCCAGAGGAGGTGGGGGTCCTTCCAGAGGAGGTGGGGGTCCTTCCAGAGGAGGTGGGGGTCCTTCCAGAGGAGGTGGGGGTCCTTCCAGAGGAGGTGGGGGTCCTTCCAGAGGAGGTGGGGGTCCTTCCAGAGGAGGTGGGGGTCCTTCCAGAGGAGGTGGGGGTCCTTCCAGAGGAGGTGGGGGTCCTTCCAGAGGAGGTGGGGGTCCTTCCAGAGGAGGTGGGGGTCCTTCCAGAGGAGGTGGGGGTCCTTCCAGAGGAGGTGGGGGTCCTTCCAGAGGAGGTGGGGGTCCTTCCAGAGGAGGTGGGGGTCCTTCCAGAGAGAGGTGGGGGTCCTTCCAGAGGAGGTGGGGGTCCTTCCAGAGGAGGTGGGGGTCCTTCCAGAGGAGGTGGGGGTCCTTCCAGAGGAGGTGGGGGTCCTTCCAGAGGAGGTGGGGGTCCTTCCAGAGGAGGTGGGGGTCCTTCCAGAGGAGGTGGGGGTCCTTCCAGAGGAGGTGGGGGTCCTTCCAGAGGAGGTGGGGGTCCTTCCAGAGGAGGTGGGGGTCCTTCCAGAGGAGGTGGGGGTCCTTCCAGAGGAGGTGGGGGTCCTTCCAGAGGAGGTGGGGGTCCTTCCAGAGGAGGTGGGGGTCCTTCCAGAGGAGGTGGGGGTCCTTCCAGAGGAGGTGGGGGTCCTTCCAGAGGAGGTGGGGGTCCTTCCAGAGGAGGTGGGGGTCCTTCCAGAGGAGGTGGGGGTCCTTCCAGAGGAGGTGGGGGTCCTTCCAGAGGAGGTGGGGGTCCTTCCAGAGGAGGTGGGGGTCCTTCCAGAGGAGGTGGGGGTCCTTCCAGAGGAGGTGGGGGTCCTTCCAGAGGAGGTGGGGGTCCTTCCAGAGGAGGTGGGGGTCCTTCCAGAGGAGGTGGGGGTCCTTCCAGAGGAGGTGGGGGTCCTTCCAGAGGAGGTGGGGGTCCTTCCAGAGGAGGTGGGGGTCCTTCCAGAGGAGGTGGGGGTCCTTCCAGAGGAGGTGGGGGTCCTTCCAGAGGAGGTGGGGGTCCTTCCAGAGGAGGTGGGGGTCCTTCCAGAGGAGGTGGGGGTCCTTCCAGAGGAGGTGGGGGTCCTTCCAGAGGAGGTGGGGGTCCTTCCAGAGGAGGTGGGGGTCCTTCCAGAGGAGGTGGGGGTCCTTCCAGAGGAGGTGGGGGTCCTTCCAGAGGAGGTGGGGGTCCTTCCAGAGGAGGTGGGGGTCCTTCCAGAGGAGGTGGGGGTCCTTCCAGAGGAGGTGGGGGTCCTTCCAGAGGAGGTGGGGGTCCTTCCAGAGGAGGTGGGGGTCCTTCCAGAGGAGGTGGGGGTCCTTCCAGAGGAGGTGGGGGTCCTTCCAGAGGAGGTGGGGGGTCCTTCCAGAGGAGGCCTGGAGGCCGTGAAGGACATTCTTAAGGAACTAGTCATGCTGCCCCTCAGGCGCCCAGAGCTCTTCATACGCGGGCAGCTGACCTTTCCCCATCTTCCCTCCCCCGTTTCCCCCTCTTCCCTGTTGAATTCCACCCCCAATGCAGAAAATCACATCTGCTAACAAGTTCGAAGAGCGGCTACTAGCTGAGGTGGTACCCCCAGACGAAGTCGGGGTGACGTTCAGCCAGATCGGTGCCTTAGAAGCCGTGAAGGACACTCTGAAGGAGCTCGTCATGCTGCCTCTCAGGCGGCCAGAGCTGTTCACGCGCGGGCAGCTGACGCGGCCGTGCAAGGGCATTCTGCTGTTCGGCCCGCCCGGCACGGGCAAGACCATGCTGGCCAAGGCCGTGGCCACCGAGGCCGGGGCGAGCTTCATTAACATATCCATGAGCGCCGTGCTGCACAAGGTGGGTTGGGTGGCTGGTGTGTTGCACGAAATGGATAGCTTAGCAGCAGAGTGGTAGCAGGGTGGAATGCTCTGCTCGTGTGCTGTGCTGCATCTGCATCTGCATCTGCACAGGGACGAGCTTCATCAACATCTTTCTTGAGCGCTGTGCTGCACAAGGTGGGCTGGGTGGCTGGTGTAGAGTAAATGGAAAAGGGGCAAGCGGAGTGCCCATCCCCTCTCCTCTCCTTCTCTGAAACTCCCGTCCCCTTGCCTTGATATTCTCGTCCCTCTTCTCTCAGAAGCCTCCTCTTTCCTTCCTTCGTTCCGTCCGTCCGTCCTTCCCTGCATAAGAGGCTGGGCGTCCTTCCCTGCATAAGAGGCTGGGCGTCCTTCCCTGCATAAGAGGCTGGGCGTCCTTCCCTGCATAAGAGGCTGGGCGTCCTTCCCTGCATAAGAGGCTGGGCGTCCTTCCCTGCATAAGAGGCTGGGCGTCCTTCCCTGCATAAGAGGCTGGGCGTCCTTCCCTGCATAAGAGGCTGGGCGTCCTTCCCTGCATAAGAGGCTGGGCGTCCTTCCCTGCATAAGAGGCTGGGCGTCCTTCCCTGCATAAGAGGCTGGGCGTCCTTCCCTGCATAAGAGGCTGGGCGTCCTTCCCTGCATAAGAGGCTGGGCGTCCTTCCCTGCATAAGAGGCTGGGCGTCCTTCCCTGCATAAGAGGCTGGGCGTCCTTCCCTGCATAAGAGGCTGGGCGTCCTTCCCTGCATAAGAGGCTGGGCGTCCTTCCCTGCATAAGAGGCTGGGCGTCCTTCCCTGCATAAGAGGCTGGGCGTCCTTCCCTGCATAAGAGGCTGGGCGTCCTTCCCTGCATAAGAGGCTGGGCGTCCTTCCCTGCATAAGAGGCTGGGCGTCCTTCCCTGCATAAGAGGCTGGGCGTCCTTCCCTGCATAAGAGGCTGGGCGTCCTTCCCTGCATAAGAGGCTGGGCGTCCTTCCCTGCATAAGAGGCTGGGCGTCCTTCCCTGCATAAGAGGCTGGGCGTCCTTCCCTGCATAAGAGGCTGGGCGTCCTTCCCTGCATAAGAGGCTGGGCGTCCTTCCCTGCATAAGAGGCTGGGCGTCCTTCCCTGCATAAGAGGCTGGGCGTCCTTCCCTGCATAAGAGGCTGGGCGTCCTTCCCTGCATAAGAGGCTGGGCGTCCTTCCCTGCATAAGAGGCTGGGCGTCCTTCCCTGCATAAGAGGCTGGGCGTCCTTCCCTGCATAAGAGGCTGGGCGTCCTTCCCTGCATAAGAGGCTGGGCGTCCTTCCCTGCATAAGAGGCTGGGCGTCCTTCCCTGCATAAGAGGCTGGGCGTCCTTCCCTGCATAAGAGGCTGGGCGTCCTTCCCTGCATAAGTCTCCTGCATAAGAGGCTGGGCGTCCTTCCCTGCATAAGAGGCTGGGCGTCCTTCCCTGCATAAGAGGCTGGGCGAGGCCGGCAAGTCAGTCAAGGCGAACGTTACTCCCTCCTTGGCTCCGCCGCTCGCCTCTCCCTCTCCAACATATTCTCCCGCCCTCCTTCCTCTCCAACATATCCCCCCGCCCTCCTTCCTCTCCAACATATCCCCCCGCCCTCCTTCCTCTCCAACATATCCCCCCGCCCTCCTTCCTCTCCAACATATCCCCCCGCCCTCCTTCCTCTCCAACATATCCCCCCGCCCTCCTTCCTCTCCAACATATCCCCCCGCCCTCCTTCCTCTCCAACATATCCCCCCGCCCTCCTTCCTCTCCAACATATCCCCCCGCCTTCCTTCCTCTCCAACATATCCCCCCGCCCTCCTTCCTCTCCAACATATCCCCCCGCCCTCCTTCCTCTCCAACATATCCCCCCGCCCTCCTTCCTCTCCAACATATCCCCCCGCCCTCCTTCCTCTCCAACATATCCCCCCGCCCTCCTTCCTCTCCAACATATCCCCCCGCCCTCCTTCCTCTCCAACATATCCCCCCGCCCTCCTTCCTCTCCAACATATCCCCCCGCCCTCCTTCCTCTCCAACATATCCCCCCGCCCTCCTTCCTCTCCAACATATCCCCCCGCCTTCCTTCCTCTCCAACATATCCCCCCGCCCTCCTTCCTCTCCAACATATCCCCCCGCCCTCCTTCCTCTCCAACATATCCCCCCGCCCTCCTTCCTCTCCAACATATCCCCCCGCCCTCCTTCCTCTCCAACATATCCCCCCGCCCTCCTTCCTCTCCAACATATCCCCCCGCCCTCCTTCCTCTCCAACATATCCCCCCGCCCTCCTTCCTCTCCAACATATCCCCCCGCCCTCCTTCCTCTCCAACATATCCCCCCGCCCTCCTTCCTCTCCAACATATCCCCCCGCCTTCCTTCCTCTCCAACATATCCCCCCGCCCTCCTTCCTCTCCAACATATCCCCCCGCCCTCCTTCCTCTCCAACATATCCCCCCGCCTTCCTTCCTCTCCAACATATCCCCCCGCCTTCCTTCCTCTCCAACATATCCCCCCGCCTTCCTTCCTCTCCAACATATCCCCCCGCCCTCCTTCCTCTCCAACATATCCCCCCGCCCTCCTTCCTCTCCAACATATCCCCCCGCCCTCCTTCCTCTCCAACATATCCCCCCGCCCTCCTTCCTCTCCAACATATCCCCCCGCCTTCCTTCCTCTCCAACATATCCCCCCGCCCTCCTTCCTCTCCAACATATCCCCCCGCCTTCCTTCCTCTCCAACATATCCCCCCGCCTTCCTTCCTCTCCAACATATCCCCCCGCCTTCCTTCCTCTCCAACATATCCCCCCGCCTTCCTTCCTCTCCAACATATCCCCCCGCCTTCCTTCCTCTCCAAACCCTTCCGTACCTTCGTGACTTCCTCCCCTCCCCTCTCCCTCTCCCCTTACCCCCATGGCTTGGTGAGCCCGACTAATCATTGAAGGCGCTCTTCTCCCCTTGGCTCCGCTCCTCCCCTCTCCTCTTTAACATTCCCACCCTCCCCTCTCTCCCTCTCCCCTCCCCCAGTAGCTAGGAGAGGCAGAGAAGTCAGTGAATACGATCCCCAGTGACTGCGATCCTCTCTCTTGAACTCCACCGCTCCCCTCTCCTCTCATATTCCCACCTTCCTCTCATTCCCCCTTCCTCACTCTCGTCACCCCCTCTTCTCCCACCAGTGGCTGGGCGAGGCGGAGAAGTCAGTGAAGGCGATCTTCTCGGTGGCCAGTAAGATGGCGCCAGCTGTCGTGTTCGTGGATGAGGTGGACAGCCTGCTGGGGCGGCGAGGGCAGTGGGGGGAGCACGAGGCGATGCGCAAGGTGAAGAACGAGTTCATGTCGTGTTGGGACGGGCTGCGCACGCGGGCGCATGAGAGAGTGCTGGTTCTTGCCGCCACCAACCGACCGTTCGATCTTGACGACGCCATCATTCGACGGTTCCCACGACGGTACGGTTCTCCACCCTCTCTCCCCTTGTTCTTTGGCTCGGGGGGGAAGGCGAGAGGGGCTCGTTTTTCTGCGTGGCGAGAAGGGCAGTGGGGATCAGCAATGGGGGGAGCACGGGGCAGTGGGGATCAGCAATGGGGGGAGCACGGGGCGGACTTACCAGACGCAGACAGACAGCAGGGAGAAGGTCCTTCAAGCCATCCCCTGCCCCTCTCTGCTCTGATCTGCTCTGCTCTGCGCTGCTCTGCTCAACCCTGAGCCGTCTACTCCATTTCCTCTGTCCCCTTTTCCCTCCTTCCCTCCCTCTCAGGCTGATGGTTGACCTACCAGATGCGGACAACAGGGAGAAGACCCTGCGAGTGGCTCCCTGCTCTGCTCAACTTAACCCTGACCCTTCCCCACTCCCTCTCCCCGACCTCACTCTACCCTCTCGTGTGTCTCTTCCCTCAGGCTGATGGTTGACCTACCAGACGCGGACAACAGGGAGAAGATCCTTAGGGTGATTCTAAAGGACGAGGAGGTGGAGGAGGGGTTTGACTATAAGGAGCTCGCTGCCATGACCGAGGGGTACTCGGGGAGTGACCTCAAGGTGAGTGTGATTATATGGGGGGGTGGTGGTACTGATACATGCACCGGAGGAGGTTGGTGTTAGCGTGATTTCACACTGTTTTTTTTTCTCGTTTGTGACACCAAGGCCCTCTGAATCTCCTCATTGCAATCGACCTCCCGTTTCCTGCGCTCCTCTCTCTCTCTCTCTCCTCCCCTCCCCTCCCCTCCCCTCCCTCATCTGTGCTTGCTCCCTGCCTCCCATCAGAACCTGTGTGTGACGGCGGCATATCAGCCCATGAAGGAGATTCTCAAACAAGAGGAACCCTCCCCTCCCGTGCTCTCCTCTCCCGTCCCCTCCCCTCCACTGCTCTCCTGTCCCCTCCTCTCCCCTCACCTGCCTGCCATCAGAACCTGTGTGTGACGGCGGCGTATCAGCCCATCAAGGAGATTCTCAAACAAGAGGAGGTGGAGAAGGTGAGGGGCAAAGGGAGGGCAGTGGGTCAGAAAGCGAAAAATAATGTCGGCGGTGCTGCTTGCTCTGTTCAGCGAATGGCTCCCATCCTGTTTCTGATTTTGCTTTTGCGGTTTTCATTTCTTTAACGGGCAACAGAGTAAAGGGCATGATGTACTCTGTTATTTTTTTACGATGCGCCTCTCCCGGCCCTTTTTCTTGCCAAACCCGTTTCAAGCAGAAGAGGCTGCAGCTGGAGGAAGCTTCCAAGAAGGCGGACAGCTCAACTGCAGCAGCAGCAGGAGAGGTGCAACCACCACCACCCGCTGCTGCAGCAGCTTCTGGTGGGAGCAGTGAGGGGGGTGGGGGGGTTAGTGAAGGAGATGCAGCAGCGGAAGCAGCAACAACAACAACAGGTGAATCTGGCGATTTACCTGGCAAGCCCAGCCAAGAGAATGAGCATGGCTCTGCCACTCCTGCTGCTGTTGCTGCTGCTCCTGTTTCCTCTCCTACTGCTGCTGCTGCTCCTGCTGCTGATGCCACTTCAGCGCCGGCTGACACCACTTCAGCGCCGGCTGACGCCACTTCAGCACCGGCTGACGCCACTTCAGCACCTGTTGATAACACTGCCGCACTAGCAGCAGACAAGGAGGGTGGCGAGGCCAGTGTGCAAGGCGTGCATGAGGGTGAGCAGTTAGGTTTGCAGAAAGATGTGTCAAGACCTGTTGAAGTGGAGGGGGGTTCTGTGGTGTCAGACGGTGGTCGCACACAGGGGCAAGCTGCAGAGGGTGGCACTGGGGTGAGCGATACTGGTATGGGCGGCAGTGAAGTGGGCGGCAAGCAGGTTCTGTTTATTGAGGGCGATGAGGCCGGGGAGAAGAGCTGCTTGCAGGTTGCTTGTAATGGAGATGCTTCTAACGAGAGCGTGTGCAGTGATCAGGCAGATGGTACACCTAAGGAGGAAGCGGGAATGGAAGGAAATGAGGGGAGAGGAGGGAAGGGAGGAGAGGAGGGTGTGAGCGTGAAAGGTTGTGCTGTGAAAGGGGGAGAGGATGGACAGGTTGCTGCAGTAAAGGAAGCTGAAGGTGGCCCCTGTGTTGGAGAGGTGATCAGAATGAATGGCACTGTACCGAGTTCCGCTCTAGTAGACGGCGCTTTAGCGAGTGACCATTCGATGAATGGCGTTTCAGACACAGTGACTGCAGGTGGTGTGAGTGAAGAGGATATGCTCTGCAGGAAAGATGCCAGGTCAGGTGAGATTGAGAGCAGAGAGAAGGAAGAGAAAGAGGAGAGAGCGGAGGTGCGAGAGGGAGGGGGGGTGGCAGAGGCAGCAGGAGGGCGGAGCATGGAAGGAGGAGTGGCAGAGCAATTGAGGATAGATGAGAGTCAAGCTAATGGGGGTGAATCTGCTGCAGCTGAGGCTGGGAGCGACAGAGACAGAGGGAATGAGAGGGCTGCAGGGGATGATAGTGCTGCGATGGCAGGGGACAGTATGATTGTTGGGGACAAAACAATCGCAGGGAAGAGTGAAAGTGAAGGGGTTGCTGAAGGGAGAGAGGCTGCAACTGAGGAACCAGAAGGTGAAGAAGCGGGTTCATTAGCCGGTTCACGGGGTAAGGAGGACGGAGGAGGTGAGAAGGGGCGGAGTGAGAAGGTGGAGGGAAGGGAGGGAGAAGCAGAGGAGTCAGCAGAAGAAGCAGGAAAGCAAGCAGCAAAGGAGTCAGCAGAAGAAGCAGGAAATCAAGCAGCAAAGGAGGCAGCAGAAGAAGCAGCAGAGGAGGCAGCAGAGGAGGCGCTAGTGAGGGGCATCGTGGAGGACATTTTGAGGCGCGGCGCTGATGACAGCAGCAGCGCCTCCCCTGCTGACCTGTGCGCTGACATGGCAGCTGCGCTGGAGATGGTAAAGGAGATCACACGTGAGGACGACACGTCAGCAACAGATGCCGGGGAAAAGGGAGGTAGTTCCATCACAAAGGCTAGAGAAGGTGTGGGTAAATCAGAAGGTGAAGCAGAGCGGAGAGACGGGGAAGGAGGTCCAGGAGGCACTGAAAACGACACTCAGAGCCAAGACCAGCAGCAGTCGCAAGCACCGGATTCCGCGACCTCTCTCCCTCGCCCTCGCAGCGTCTCCCTCCTCCAATTAGCCGAGGACAGCTGGCGCGAGCGCACGGGTGCAGGCCTGTCAGGGCTGGGCAAGGCAGGAGCAGACGGTGCTGCTGGCAGCGGCGGCAGCAGTGGTGGCGGCGGTGGTAACCGCGTGTTACGGCTGCGGCCAATCACGATGGCGGACATGCGGGCGGCGAAGCAGCAGGTGGCGCCGAGCACGGCGGGGGACAGCAGCAGCATGGCGGAGCTGAGGCAGTGGAACGACCTCTATGGGGAGGGCGGCTCGCGCAAGAAAGAAAAACTGTCCTACTTCCTCTGAGGCACTGCAAGAAGGTTTTTCTTGAGTCGACTCATAAGTCACGGCGGGGGATAGCAGCAGCATGGCTGAGCTAAGGAAGTGGAACGACCTCGTTGGGGAGGGCGGCTCACGCAAAAAAATAAAAAAAAAAAATCCTTCCGGTACTTCCTCTGAGACACCGAGATAAGGAAAGGGTTTTCTACTTCGTCTGGCTGGCTCTATCTTGATTCCTGAGGCGCCCTGGGAAAGGGAAAGATTTAGCTCTACTTCCTGCAGACTCCATCCTGCTATACTGGTACTTGGATTGGAACCTTATCGCTCTTGCATGTTCGATTGGCATGCTGCATGCTGCATGCTGAAAATGCGAAGCAAACCGGCTCAACCGTCTAGTCCAGCTAGCTGGAGTTCGGTGATCAGTCAACAGGTTGTTGGAATAGTTTGAGTTGAGATATATTTTTACTTTCCAGAGATTCAGCTCAACAGGTGGCAATGTTGTGTTGTGGCTTGCAGCATGCTGCCGTGCCGAAGCAGGCAGGAACATGGTAGCTGTATCATATGCAGTATTTGATGTGGCCAATAGAGCGTCATCATCAGGGCTTCAGATTCGTTTTGGGCCACCCTTAGTAATCAGGGTTCTAGGTATAGTCAACCCTGATGCGTAGGGTAAAATTTTGGTTTCCCTGTCAAATGCAGGGTAAAAAAACAGTTAGTCTGTTTGGGCAGGGTATTCTTAAAACTTTATGGTTAGTTAAAATCCCGAAGCACTCGAGATCAATGGCTAGTATTTCAGCTGGTACAATTGCGCATTAGATCGCAAGGTCGTAAGTTCAATTCTCGCTATTTGATCGTTTTGCAGGGACCTGTATAGTGTTTCGTCTCGCTACGGAGCACTCAGTACCAGTATAGCTTGGATTGTACACTGTACAGTCAGAGTAATGTGTTCCTTATGCTGCTTTTCAAAGGGTATTGAAAAACTTACACTTTCTGGCCTAGGGTAAAAAATCCACTACCCTGCCTGTGAAAGGGTAACTGAAAAAAAGCGGCCGCCAGTCAGTGCAAAAAGGGTATTTTACCCTGATAACGAGAGGCCTGGTCATCATGACTCAGTTATCCCACCAGCAGATAGCCACACTTGTAAGCACCAATTTCAAAACATTTTCCCTAAACATGCTTAGCACTATAGGGATGATATGCTACAAGTCCTAAACGAAGTACCTATACAAGCCTTCACCTATCAATTACCGTAATCAATGCTGCCAGCCACACCAGTAGCATTCACTTGCACCTGATGCTCTCGGACCACTCCCATTGCCACAGGTCATTCTTCACAACCGCCAGGGAGGCCTCATTGCACCCAACCTTGCCCTCACATTACCCATTTTCTCCTCAGGTTTTACGCTGCCAACTCTCTCCTGCCGCCTCATATCTTTCTCATGGCACACAGACACAACCAGAACGTTCCTCCCCTTCCCAGCAACAGTCTTCACAGCAAGAGCTCCTACACTGCTTAACTTGGAACCGACTGCTGCTTTTCTCGAGGCTGAATTCTTGCCTGCAAGCAACATTGCTGTGCCTGCACGCAGAAGAGCCGCGCCTGCGAGAAACCGAGCTAAACCTGCAAGCCACAGAGCTGTGCCTCCGAACAGCAAAGCTATGCCTGTAAGCAGCAGAGCTGTGCCTGAGAGCAACAGAGCTGTGCCTGCAACGGGACCCACTGCAGCATCCATGTCAGCATCCACTGCAGCATCCATGTCAGCATCCACTGCAGCATCCATGTCAGCATCCACTGCAGCATCCATGCTAGCGTCTTTTGCAGCACCCATACCAGCGTCCTCTGCAGCACCTGTGCCAGCATCCAAAGCCAAGCACCACAAGAGAGAGGGAGGACGGATGTTCGGAAGGGCAGCAGAGGGGACAGGTTCGGAGTTACTATCTTCAGTATTGAAGCTCTTGTCCGCCTCCGCGATTTTCTCAGCTTGGGGTTGGCATGTTGCCCCGGTCGAAATATTCTACAAGGGCAGCAAACGAAACGAATGGATTGGCTGCTCGACTCTCACGTAGGATCCGAAAAGGGCTGCGGCTTGAAAACTTTTGGTTCCGCTGCCCTCAGGTCGAAATCTCTGCTTCGGAAGGCATACCGAGCCTCCACGCGAGAGATCAGGCGGCTCGTTGCCAGAGATCAGAGCAGTGGGTAGAACAACCAGTGGGCCTGGCAAGAAAGCGAAGGCGGGAAACACACGCTGCATATTGATAACTTTCACATGCCCGCTCAAGAACGAAACTAAGGTCCGACAACTTCGTGGAGCTGCAGCAGCCAAATGGTACATGAAATTCAGCGGGAAGTGGCAATGCCTAGCAGACTAGCGACAGCAGGAATCGCGCGCGGCTAAGGGTAAATTTTCGGGTTTATGTTCGAAAATGAAACAACAGCACTTCTCTAGGCTCCGGCGATTCCGTGGAACGGCAGCAGCCATAGGCTTGGTGTAAATCCAATGGTAATCCCTGACTGGAGACTATCGATGAAACATGGCAGAGTTGAATCTTGAAACAAGCTTTCAAACATGACATCCGAATCTGAACTCGTTACAGAGGTTTCCGTACCATTACACGCTTTGTTGTTGCTCAAAGCCTTACATGGGATTCAAGCACTAACCATTCTCTTTCGGGTTCCCACTATAAGGGCGCGTCACCATTTTGCCACTTTCGTTAACGTCAAAACAAACCGTTCTTGCGAATCTGTGTTACAGCCTTCGCAATAACCGAGTTTCGCGCGATACTTTGACGGTGCGAGTAACATGACTTCGCAAGAATGGTTTGTTTAGGGTTTGCAACGAAAACGAGGCCGGCAAAATGGTGACAGCCCTAAGCAAATTGCACTTCAAACATAGCCTAACTTCATGGCTCGTTCCTTCGGGATTCCCTTCTACAGTAGCTCTAGATAAAGCCCACATAAACAAATCCCAGATTTATGCTGACTTCACCCATCAACTCGGAAGTCTTTTCTTGTTGCACATGTCTTTTCTTTATCGTAATCCCTTCAGCTCACCTGCAGTTTCGTATTAACTTACCGTAGCGCGATCGGCGGCCCATCTTGCGCCATACTGCCTCGAACAGCGCATGCATTCGCGTTTTAGGTTTCGTCTGCGTTGTGCTCCGCAAAACTCTTTCTGTCACTAATAATCCGCAGGGCTCGAACTAACATGCACCGCTAGTCGTACCGCTATTCTCTACAGGTTCTCGCGTTCGTGATTCACGTCGCCGGTAGAATAACCATCTAGTGTGCCAGCATCATTCCGTGCTCATTTCGCAAAAAGGGGTAATAACTTGCATGCTGCTCTGGACGTGCTACGATCTGCATCTTTCCTTCCTAGCCTATTCGTCCCTCCATGGCAAGCCTTGGGTCTGCGGTTACCGGTAGGAAGCGCACACGGCGCCACGATAACGTGGCTGACCGAATTGCTCGCGCCCTAGAGACTAAAGCCGCAAACGCGGGCAAGCCTATCACCATAAATATAACATGTGCGTATACTACTGCAAGTTTCTAGGAGGAGGAAGACTGTATTTGCCGCGGAGGTTTGCGTGTTCTCCATCATTTTCCAACGTTCGCATGCTTGTTCCCTGTCGTTTGCCGCACTCCATCTTACTGTATCGGTTCGCATCCACACGTCACGTTTCTTGCAGCCAGCTCAATTTTCTGACGAAAGCTAGGCGCATTAAAGTCAAAGCTCGTCTCATTTCACGCCTTATGTTTTTTGCAGATGAGCAAACCAAAATTCTGATGGAGGCTGGCCACGCGCTCGCGACAATGACAAATGTGACCGTTGATCAGCAGCTTGCAACTTACGAGGAGTTCGCACGTTACCCCTACATGGCAACGATGTTCCTCAATGTGACTCCTTCCATTCGCACCGCTTAAGTGCGTGGTAACGTCCGTGGCGATGGCCGTGCATTACCCGCACGGGGTGTTGCATCACTTGCGGCGGGAGGTGCATTAGCCGCTTTGGAAGGTGGAACAGGCGCAGAGGACGGTGGAACAGGAGCAGGGGACGGTGGGATAGGCGCAGGGGATGGTGGAATAGGTGCAGGGGACGGTGGAACAGGCGCAGGGGACGGTGGAACAGGCGTAGGGGACGGTGGAACAGGCGCAGTGGACGGTGGAACAGGCGCAACGGGTGTTGCATCAGCCGCAGGGGAAGGTGAATCAGCCGCAGGGGAGGGTGAATCATTTACAGGGGAGGGTGAATCATTTACAGGAGAGGGTGAATCATTCACAGGGGAGGGTGAATCATTTACAGGAGAGGGTGAATCATTTACAAGAGAGGGTGAATCATTTACAGGAGAGGGTGAATCATTTACAAGAGAGGGTGAATCATTTACAGGGGAGGGTGAATCATTTACAGGAGAGGGTGAATCATTTAGAGGGGAGGGTGAATCATCTACAAGGGAGGATGAATCATCTACAGGGGAGGGTGAATCAGCTGCAGTGAGAGGTGAATCAGGTGGGGAAGGAGGGGCATCAGCCGCAGGGGGCGTTGGGCAAACACTCTAGGGTGGGTGAGCGTTGTCTTTATTGATCACCCTTCCAGTTTCCTCCCCATTCCCTCTCCTCCTTTCTGACCTTCCTGCTGGAACCTACAACTTCCCCACCCTCTCAACCTCCATCCCCCTCCCTTCCAAACACATGCCAGTTGTTCAACTATGCGGAATGCATGTGCCTGCCATGTAAGCACGCAACATACATGCGCCTGCCATTCTACAGCCCGGCATACGCGCACCTGCCCGTTGCCCTACTTCTGCTCCATCACTCTCCTTTCCCTCCAATCCCCCTCCCCGTCGACGTCGCTTCCCTCCCGTCCCCAATGCCCTTGCCTCTTTCCCCATCGCCTCCCCCGTCGTCCTCTCCTCTGCTACCCATCGCCCACGCCTCCCCTCACATGACACATACCTCCATACACTCTACCACATGCATATCTGTTATTCACTCCCTCCGCCTTACTCTCCCTCTCTCCCTCTCTCTCGTCAATCCTTCTCCACTTCCTTTCCAATGTACTGATCTCCTACGTACCCACTACAGATTTCTCCTTTCGACCCTCTCTACCTCTCTCCTTCCTTTTTTCTCTTTTCTCTCCTCCTCCCATCTGCCTTACCGCTTGCCCCCGACTCCCCACCTCATTCCGTTACTTACCTTCCTCCAGCCACCAACTTACTCCACTGCATCCGTCCACCTCCTGACTGACCCCACACGTTTACCCCACTGAAACAACTCCTGTGTCCCACTTTCCATCCTCCCTTTCTCTTCATAACTCTCCCACTCCCTCTCCCACCCTCCCTGTTCCCCTACCCGCCCTGTTCCCCCACCCTCCCTGATCTCCCACCCTCCCTGTTCTCCCACCCTCCTTGATCTCCCACCCTCATTGCCGAAAGATATGATTTCTTAATCACGGATCTAGGTGGCCCACCCTCCCTGTTCCCCCACCCTCCCTTTTCCCGCACCCTCCCTGTTCTCCCAAATTGGACTCTCCTACTACACGTCACGACTCACGCACTTCCCTAGCACACGGGTCAAAGCTTTGTGCTAGTGCAGGGGTGTTGTAGGGGCAAAAGGTGCAGGCGTGGGGCAGGATGTGGAAAGGAGGGGAAGGAGGCAGTAAGGCAGGGTAGTTCGACAACTGTAGAGTGGAGGGAGGGGAAAGGGGATGTGTAGACGGACGGATTCTCAAGAGCTTGTAGGGTCGGGTCAGGAGCACTATGGAATGTTCAGGTCAAACTACACATGAATGAATGTTGACCTCTGTAAATAGGTTTGGTGAAAGTTTTGATGTGCATTATGAGTCAGAATCCACACACAGCAGCAGCTCTTGTTTTGTTGGCCATTTAGCAGGTGTCTTGTCAGTTTTGTAATACTGGAAGGAACGGGTGGTTACCTAGCCTGATTTTCTTGATAGCGAGGAAAAACATATGGTGTATGTGCATTTTGAGGACTGAACTTACCCCATCCGAGGATCTTCCAAATTTTGGACGAAAGTGGCGAGATGTCGCCCCACCAGAGATTCTCGGAAACATCTGTCGTGCAGTTTCACGATGGACTGTTATCACCGCATCTAGGCATCTTGGTTCTGTGCCCAGCCCGGAGTCCAGCCAGAGACCAATTGACAGGCCTGGTCATCACTGCACATGTGTTACTCCATTGCACGAACAGCTCGTGGTGAGGGCGTAACGCGGAATTTGATCATCGTCAAATTGACGCGCCGTGCTTTGGGAGACACCCTATTGGTTGGCGCGAATCGGTGGGAGCTTTGGACCGACAACGGAGCTGATGAACCAGCAACCGTGTTTTCGGCAACAGCGGCATTTATTGGTGATGGTCGCGTCGCGTCGCGGGGCGTTCTCTCCCGCCCACGGTCACTTCAGCGGCTGTGGGGGGGAATTGTCGTTCACAACTCCTTCCCTGCCTGCCACCAGCCTAGCAGATTTGCGGAACTAGGCTCCTTGGTCTGGCTACCAAGGACAAAGCAACGGGCCTGTAACGCATAACTCACGAAATGTAAAACAGCTCGCTAGTCCCATCATTATCGTCCTGTTACGACTTTCGCCAACAGCACAAGCTTCTAGACCTTCATTTCGAAGCAAACAGTAGCTTCGGCGTGGTGCGGAACGCCTCGGTACGCCCCGGCGCAGCGGGTTTCGAAGCTTCAACCGTTCAAAAACGATTAGTACCAAGAATCACCACGGTTCTTACCTTGCCCACAAATTCGCGCTGTACTACTCAACCAGCATGCTTCTGATGGCTGCTCAGGCGCCCTTCCTTCCTCTCCTGACCTGACCTTAATTGCCTTTGTCCTTCCTTCGTCCCGCGCGCCGAGCGGTACCGACGGCTAGTGATCAAGCTATTTGGCGGCGTGCTGTTTGCTACTAGTCAATCACAGCACCAGTGGGAGTGGGAGGATGGACGGTTCAACTTATAAGTCTCGTTAACTCACAGCAATTTGTGACTAGAGCTAGAACCGTGGATTTCTTTCAACAAGATCAACAGCCTTAACGCGCTAACCTTTAGGCAGGAAACAAAAGACGTCGGAAGATTATCAGACGATTAAGTCTGATATTTACTTCAATTCCTTGTGAGGGAACCTTTCGCATAGAACGTAGCCAGTGAGAATCGTAGTTAAGAAATCGTTAAGCCATGGATCCCGTGAGACTATTCTCCGATACATTCGGTGTAGACTATTCCGCCGCAGCGTACCTCGTCGGCGCGCTTTCGTCCATCCCCGTCGCGTACCTTCACCGGTTTATCGGCCCTCCCGCGCTCCGCCATGTATACGCCGCAGTTTCCGGGGTGCTTCTATCGTTAATCTCCTTCACTCCCGACGTGCTGCTGCATTTCATCCTCGCAGCGGCCTTCACACTCGTCGTCATGCGAACGCAGCGAAGCATCTGCGGACTGGTTACCTTCATTGGTACATTCGCACATCTCATCGCATGGTACGTGGATTCCATCGAGTTGGTATCAAGGGCAGGTCGCATCTGAGGCAGGTCGCATCAGGGGCAGGTCGCATCTATTCGCGTAGTAGTTCGCTTGAATAAGATAAGGTAAATCGTTTGAAGCTGTAGCCATAGATTACCTTTTGAGCTGGCCCGAGAATTGCGCCGCAGGTTGCGCTCTCAGCCGCGCTTGTTTTCCGTCACTTTGAACGACGGAGTCGTCGTAATGCGCGAGTGCCATCGGCACTCCTGCGTTCTCTACTTTCTCTTACTATTGTTTCTTGAGCACGCCAGAGTTTTCCTTTTCCTGTGCGCTTTGCACATCGTCTCCTCTTCACCCCTCTTTCCCCCTCCTTCTCCCTCTTCCCCAAACCCCTTCTTCCCCCTCTCCCCGCAAACTCGCGCCCTCCGCCTCTCGCGTACCCCGCAACTTGCTTCCTCTGCTTCTCGCTATTCACCTGCCTCCCCTCCTCGTCGCCTAATCCCGCGCAGCCACGTCATCTTCATGAGCGACGACGCGCGGAGAACGGGCCGCGTGGACTTCACGGGGACTCTAACTATCGTGGCGATTAAGCTGACGTCACTCGCCATGGACTACCAGGACGGCCTTAAAGCCCTAAAGGACGACGCGAAGCGCGCGAAAGACGGCGAGAAACCCGAGAGCGAGCAGCCGTCGCGCGATGATCGGAGAAAGGCGGAGAAGCGGGCGAGAGTGATTAGAGAGATGCCGTCGCTGGTGGAGTTTCTGGGGTATCTTTTCTGCTGCGGGCAGCATCTGCTTGGGCCGTGGTTCGACTATCAATCCTACGACGACTGGACGCACCGCCGCGGGGTGAGTGCGTGGATAGGAACCCTAGTGTTACTTGGAGTGGGTAGGGACAAACCGGAAACCTGGAAAGTTGTGGTGTGAGGTCAGCAATGAGTACGCAAGCAACAGGGACCAAGAAACCCTAGTGGGGTTTGTTAAATCCTATGTGTTGATTGGGCACACTGATGTGATGAGTGGTTAGTGCATAAACAAGGTAAGAGTTGCTGCACCATCAAATAAGGAATAAGTTAGAGCATGAACATGAACCGAGGTAGAGCATAAACCCTTATTCCGAGGTTCAAGACTGGGAGGTAATTAACGGGTTGGGCTTGGCCGTGAATGAGTTCTACATTCCATAAGCGGAATGATGGCTCAGCATGTTGGCATTGCCTTACCAACGAGGGTTTCGGGTCTAGGGTTTGGAGTGAGGCTAATTTCTTCATCCCAAGTGGTCATTTGTATTAATGCCACAGCAGGTACATATAGATGGGGCAGCAACAGCAAAAGAAATAGAAATGACAAGGATGCAATTCCTTTCCCCCTTCACCCTTCCCCATCCCTCATTCCCCTATCTCCCATTTCCCCCCCTGTCCTTCCTGCAGGTGTGGTCCCCGTCGGTGCGCTCCCCCTCGCCCATCCCGCCCTTCCTCCGCGTGCTCGTCCAAGGCTCATTGGCAGCAGCCGTCTTCCTCCTCATCTTCCCGCACCTCGACCTCTCCCTCGCCACCGACCCGGCGCGCTTCTTCGTGCTGCCCTTCCTGCGGCGCCTGCTGCTGGTGTTCCACGCCACGCTCGTCACGCGCTGGCGCTGCTACATCGTCTGGTCCATTGCGGAAGCTGCCATGGTTGCTGGCGGCCTCGGCTTCTCTGGTTGGGTTGCTAAACCTAGTGCTGCTGCTGGTGGTGGTGGTGCTGCTGCTGCCGCTACTGCTGCTGGTGGTCCTGTTGTTGCCCCTAGTGCTGCTGGTGGTGGTGCTGCTGATACGACTGCTGCTGCTGCTGCTGCTGCTGCTGCTGCTGCCTCTGCTGCTAACTCAGCTGCTGCAGGGGAGGGGGCAGCAGACGAGCACGACGGGAAGGAGAACCATGCGGAGAGGAATGGTGTCAGCACAGGACAGGCAGCCGCGGCAGCAGCAGCAGATGGAGGGCAGGTGATGATGGGAGGGCGGGTAATGATGGGAGAGCTGGTGAACAAGCAGGGGGGCAGCACAGCGGGAGTCAAGGGCTCTGCAGTAAGTGGTGAGAAGAAGAGATCACACGCTGCCACCCCTGCTGCTCCTGCTGCTCCTGCTGCTCCCACTCCTGTTACTGCGTCTGCTGCTGCAACCGCCACTGCTTCTCCTGCTGCTGCTCCCACTACTGCTGCTGCTGCCGCCACTCGCACTGATGCTGATGACGCCCCTGAGTGTTCACGTGCGGAACGGCAGGTGGCGGCGTCAGGTGCCGAGCGACAGGTGGCATCGTGGGATAGGGCGCGCAACGTGAATATCCTCGGCATGGAGCTCGCGAGCACGGGCGCTGACGTGGCAAAGAACTGGAACATCTCCTTCAGCACGTGGCTGCGCATCTGTAAGCATCGGCGCCGTTGCTGCTGCCTGCAAGCATATAGGGTCCACAGGTTGCCATCCTTGTTAGTGCCATCCTCGTTCTTACCATCCTCGTCTGTGCTATCCAACATCACAATGCTGCACATCACAACGTGACCCCCCATTGTCCCTCGCATTCAACTATCACCTCACGTTACGATTCTGCTCACTCCTTTGCTATCCCTCATTTGTCTGTACTGCTCCCTCTCCCCCGTGGCGCTCCCCCACACAGACGTGTATGAGCGGCTGGAGGCAATGCCAAGGAAGAGTGCACTATTCAACCTGCTCTTCACCTTCTTCATCAGCGCCATTTCGCATGTGAGTGCCCTCTCTCTTAACGTTTCATGTCATGTGGTTGATTTCTGAGCCTCCTCAGAAGGGGAGGAGTGCATTGTTCTAACCTGCTCTTCACATTCTTCATCAGCGCCATCTCGCATGTGAGTGCCCTCTCGGTTCACACTTGTGTCACGTGGCTGCTGCTCTCATTGCCCTTATTTCCACCACTCCCTGATCTGAACCCATAAGGTTTGACCTACTGCCATTCAACTCTTGTTCTTCCCTCCACGAGCCTGAACTTTTGGCACTCATCTCTCCCTCGCCTCCCCCATTTCCTCTCCTCGCAGGGTCTGAACCTAGGGGATCTGATCGGGTTCGCCCACTGGGCGCTCATGATAGCGGGGTCGCGCGTCATCTACCGCTGGCCGTTCCCTCTAAGCCAAAGCTCATTGGTCCGATATTCTCTAACAACTCCCTCCCTCCCTCTCCTCCCTCCCATTCCCTCCTCCTCCCTCAGGGTTTGAACCCAGGGGATCTGATAGGCTTCGCCCACTGGGCGCTGATGATAGCGGGGTCGCGAGTCATCTACCGCTGGTCGCGGCCTCTAGCCCAGGGCTCGCTGCCTCGCCGCGCTGCCTCGCTGCTGCACTTCCTCTACGTGCTGCTCTGCATCAACTACGCTGGCTTTGGCTTCAGTGTGAGTGCTTGTGCATCTTGAAGTGCGTGATTGGATCTATGTTGCCTCGCTCGCTGCTGCGCTTCCTCTACGTGCTGCTCTGCGTAAACTATGCTGGAATCGGGATCAGTGTGAGTGCTTGAGGCAATTTGAGGTGGTTTTTGAGATGCATAGAAATATTGTTCGTGCCACGTGCTGCTCTGCATCAACTACGCTGGCTTTGGCTTCAATCAGTGTGAGCATTTGTTGTGTGCCTTAGAACGCGGAGTTGTTAAGCACGTGTGATGAGTCGATTTTTGAGTCGACTCAAAAATCGATTCAGTGTAAGCATGTGTGCCTTAGAACGCGGAGTAGTTGAGCGAGTGCGTCTGCGTTGGGTTTGTTGTCGTGGGTGTCAGTCAGACTGCACGTGCTGCAGTGGAGCACCGCATGTGTGTTTGCCTGCATGTGCCGAGCTACTTCCCTTCTCACAACACCCGCCCCTCCACACCCCCCTTCCCCTCCTTGGTTTCTCTTTCCGCCACTCGCATTCCTGTGCACGTCTTTCATTATTTACAATCTCCTTTCCCTCTCGTGGTGCTCCTTCGTGCAGGTGATGACGTTCCAGCACACGGTGCAGGCATACAGGGGGCTCTATTACTACGGCACATTAGTGCCTGTGATGCTCATCGTGGCAGGCAACTTCATCCGAACACCAAGGCCCAGGGGGGCCAAGAAAAGCCTCAAGACAGAGTAGCCAGGAGGAACCACTTCTTGAGTCAATTTAGCGTAAGCATGTTCTCCATTTGGTGGTTCTTACGGTAGTTTTGTGTATATACTAGAATATTTAATATCGCTCGCATTTGATTGATAGCAAAAAGGATGACATTTGGAAGGAAAGGGATAGCTCGCAGCAACAACACTTACAGCTACCTAGCAAATACTCCTAGCATCTCAACGGATCACACTACCAGCCTTATCCCATCCACCTCCACAGGGCCGGCCTATTATTCTCTGCCTTGCACACAGCCATGCCACGGTGGCTGCACGTGCGCCGCATCAACTCGTTACAGGGCGTCCCATTATTAGCAGAATACTGTTGCACCTATACACCCTCTCGCGACGTTTCTCCTTTAGAAGTTGGTGCCGCTCTCGTAGGTCGTCCCGGCACTCCATCCGCTCGGAATCACGTCTTGCAACACCACCTGCTGCCCGCCGCCCGTCACGCGCACGCTCACGGGGCGCCCCGCATCGACGACGTCCTTGGCGGGATTGAGCACCCACGTGGCGCCCCATCTGTACGTCGTCATGCTCGACCACTGCGACCCGTCATTCGACAGCTCCACGTTCTCCACGCCTCCGCTCCACGCCGCTCCAAGAATCTGAAGCGCGAAGTTGTACGAGTTGCTATCGTCGACTAATCTGACCTTCATTCCGCCGTTGCTAGGGCAGTCCACGCTGCGGTAGTCGATCTCCACGCGCCCCGCGGCCCGGTCAGCGACGATTCTATCCCACGCGGCGAAGTTGAGGTTGAAGTCGCCGTTTTGGCCGACCGCGCGCACCAGCACGCTGCCCTCCAAGCAGCTCGGGTGGTCCATGCAGGAGACTTCGTAGCACCTTCCGCAGCCCTTTCCGCTGTTGAAATCGCCCGAAGGAACCTGCGCTACCATGCCGTAGTCGAAATCCGAACTCTCGCCGTAGTCGAATTGGCCGCGGTAGCACGTGCCCTCGCGGTTCAGATCAGCGGATGTGGCGTACATGGCATCGGCCGGAGTGAGGGAGAGAGCAAGCAGACCGATTCCTACGCACAGTAAGAAGCCGACCTTGAAAAGGCGAGCCATTGGAGAAAGGGAGCAGGGAGTGGCTTAGATACTGCGGGAGCTTTCTGCTGACTAGGAACAGCCCAAGTCTGAAAACTAAAACTAACCAAGCGGGCTTGAGTATCAGACACACTGAACGCTTGGATGGCAGTGATAGATTTGGATGATGATGGTGAATTAGCAGGAGACTAATTTAGTTTCGTGACTCTCAGATGTTCAATGCAGAGTGCGGCTCGAGTCGGTTCGATATTTTTCCTGGTAATTGGGGCTCCGCTTCCAAAACAATAATTTTGGTCTCTTCACAAAGTGACTGCTAGGCGACAGCCACGAAAACGTTGTAACACGCATCGTGAGTCAAAAGTTTGGAAGGCGATTGGCTCGATAATAACTGTTGGGAGCGGCTTCATTTGGTAATTTGCTGGTAATAATTTCGATGGAAGCGGCTTCCTGATGCTACCCCGCGGCGAGAGGCTCAACGATTATTGTCGCCCCGCAACGCTAGTATCTGTTGGGCCTTGGTACGGCTGGTAACTCAGCTATTTGACGAACCCTCAAAGTCAGCTTTCGCAGGTGGTAACACAACATGTGATTTGACTTGGCTGGCATTCGTATGTGTGCTCACTCGCACAATTTGCAGTTGGACGAGCACACAAATGCAGCGAGAACATATTACGAGGCGCGTTATGAACCCGAGTGTTGTATTGTTGTATACTCATTCTAGGTGTTGTATTGTTTCTCGCTGTCATCTCACGCTATTGTTCCTCGCTATAATGTCTCGCGTATGGCCGTGTTTGCCCATCTGAGCTCATTCTAGGGCTTGGTATGTTTCAGTGCAAACCTCGCTACCCTCGCTACATTGCACCCGTAACATGTATGAAAGGACTACAGAAAATTTACCACTTGGTTACTGGGACACCCCTTAGCATGTTATTCCCGAAACTGTGAGCTGAAGGCTCATCTGTGGCGATTCGGTTGAGAGAATTTCTCCAGTGGCCAATCGGGTGATTCGTCCTCTCTCGGGGGGCCTCGATTTACTCGAGTGGCCACGAAATTGGGTGATAATTACTCGAGTGGCCACGCCAGGGGATTCCTGCTCGCTTTTTTTTCACCGGCGAATTACCCTACGGGGATTTGTAGCCCCGAAATTCCTTATTCGTGCGAGTGGTATCCCTAGGTAGTGTTCCGTTCTGTTCCGCAACTTAAAATTTCGCCAGGCTCACGGACGCGAAAGTGGCCCGCCCACTGTACAAGAAACCGACCAACAGTACATTGACCGGTCAATTTCGGCCAAATGCACGACCAATGAGCGCGCGGTCCATCTAATTCCGAACGAATCAGCGATCGAGCATATAACTTCTCGATCATATAATCCTATAGACCCGAAGCGAACAGCCACACCCCTAATGCACGCGCATGATTCGTAAAAAAAATGCGCGGTGCATATGTTGCCATTGAGCGTCCAATCAGGCGTCATCATTGAATTCCCCATCATATACCGAAATGATCGGCCATCAATTCGCGATAAACTAAATTACCGCGCGTGATTGGTTTGTTTTAATCTCAGGATATGCTTTGCCATTGAGCGTCCAATCATTCCCGTCCAAATGCGTGAATACATGTTTCTATATCAACTTACGGAGCATCACAACATATCTGTGGGAGTTTTGACCTATACAACCATTATTTCATTGTATTCATAGCACTAACTAAACTACTATACTGTATCCGTCTTTCGCACGTAACGGTATGAGCGTGCGTTAACAACGAACCCAAAAATTCGGCTAGTGGACCGTTCATATGCGCGTTGTGTTTCGACCAGTCACGTGTTCATGTGTATATGACTGGTCATATACGCGGGAGCATATGCGCAGTCATCTGTGCGTGTGTGTATTACTGGTCAAGTGCGGTATACTATAGGGCCATTCAATTGTTCGAGAGTATATTATTGGTCAGGAGCGTAAAGTTATATGACTGGTCATATGTGGGATCATTATTTTTTTTTCTTGGCAGTCACCAATATTCATCTAGAAGCAGAGAACAAGCAGCCTACCACAGTCCCTATTATTCAAGACTAAGCATGTTATCGCACCCCCCCATTAGTTTGCTACATGATACACCTCTGACCCCCCATATTTTCCCTTACACTTCTTCCTGGTATGCTGAGTAGACCCACAGTCGCCACACTTGTATGTCCGCTTTGGTGCTTCACGCCTTCGGTTAGATTGTGGCCGCCCTGATCCTCTCTGCACAAAAACGGGGGGATCACAAACTCCCTCCTCAACGGGCTTGGTCTCCGCAATGACCGTGTCTATACACGAATACGGAATGAGCGCCGAGTACGTCCTTCTCCAGTTGTTCGTCTTCCAATACCTGGTGATCAAGGGGATAACATCCATTTGCCTATCCCGTAAGTGTGCAAACGCATGAGAACAGGGAAACCGATATTCTTGCCAGTTCTTGCACTCGCACATTCTCTCTCCCACATCATTGTTGAAGGAGAGAGGACGTCGATCCAACGCGCTCCCCTTGTTCCGAACCATTGCCTTGCTTGGACCATTTCGTGTGACCCTGTATCCTCGGCTTCGGTTCTGTTTCAGATCAAACCGCTTCTCAGCTTCAACCGTCAATGCATGCTGCCAGTTGGATGACTTCCGCTGCCCATCCGAGTAGATTTTTGCCATCCAATCCCACATGCCCGCCATTACGTAAGATACCGGCAAGATGCGGATCTTCTTAATGGCATTGTTGATGGACTCCACCATCTGGCTGCTGTAGATGCCAAACCGACATGTGGGGGCATAACACCGTGCCCATTGTTTGATGAATACTGTGATTTTTTTCCTCCTCTTGTTTCTCGGTCCATCCTGGCCCGTGCGCACAATAATGGCCGCCCCTTCCTCCATGGTGTCACTGTCCACCCGCTCAGCATCCGCATTGCCCAAGCCCCCCAGTCCCGTTTGTCGTCCGTGGTTGACGTCCGTGGCCTCTGCGGCGTCGTTGGCCTGACCCATGTCTGTCTTAACACCCTGCTGCAGTGTTGGCTGACGCGCACTTTGGCTCCCTTGCGTTGGCAGCCGTGCTACTGGTGTTCCAGCTCGTTCCCGCCCTCTTGCACCTGCCTCTCTTGCATTCCGCCTTCCCCTGATAATTTCCATCCGCCGTTGGCATCTCATGGCCGCTTGTTGCGCTGTTGTGGTGGATAGAGGATGAGTTGTAGTATTGGTGGATTGGGAGCCGTGACCCATGTCTGCACGCTCCTCATCCTCATCAGGCCCCGGCTCCTCCCCGCAGCTGATTTGGCTCCCATCCTCCACGTCAAAGTGCTCCTTGAACACTTCTTCTGTGGTATCTGCCTCGGCCTCACTATCGGATATGGTTGTAGCTCTATCTCTTGCATTCTCGCCTGCCAAAGAAGGGTGCTCTATCTCTCTATCGGACGTGGTTGCTGTGACACGTTCAAGTGGATGCACGTTGTCAGCAGCCGTAGATTGAGGCTGCATGTCACTAGGGCGGTCACGGGTAAGATTTGCAGTTGGCATGGGTCCGAACCCATGGTCCCTATGGGGCGTCTGAGATGGTTGCTGCTGAGATGGCTGCTGCTGGGATGATGGCTGCTGGGATGGTTGCTGCTGAGTTGAATGCTGATGTACCCTTCTCTGATTTGACGGTGTTTGCTGAGATGGTGGCTGCTGAAATGGTCGTTGCTCATATGGTGTCTGGTGAGAAGGTGCCTGCTGTGATGGTGCCTGCTGTGATGGTGCCTGCTGCTGTCCCCTGCGACCACTCCTCATTTGCCGCCGCACTTCCGTCCTTGCCATTCTCGCTCTTCCTGCGGCACCCGTGCGGCTTCCAAACCCATCCCCTGCCCCTGGCTCCCGTGCACGCTGGTTGGCCCCGCGTCCGCCGCGGGTCTGCTGCGCACTAGTCTCCTCGACCC